CTTCCTCCCCCGCTGCTCGCTCCGCCCAGTTCCATCTCCGAACTGTGTAGAATTTGGTGTTAATCTGCTTTTCTGACCCTACCCGCTGTGTTATTAAGCCCTTTCGAGTTTGCGGTTTCATCATCACAGGATTATGCAGGCATTCAAATGACCTAACTTGGGTAAAAGACTTGTCCAAGTTGTTCCTACTATTTGACCGGAACAGACTGAACTCTTCTTTCCATTCTGCCTATGCCCTCCCTGCACACAAGTTCTAGAAACCTGGGATTTGTAGGAGAATTTAAAAAGTAGTGTAATCCTCAGTTTTCTTTAGCTCTCGACCTCACACACAGCCAGAAGTTAAACATCTTCATTTCAGGCTTCTTAAGTTAGAGTCCATGGATCTTGGAGCGCGATGGACGGAGTTTCGGGAATTCTCTGGAATCTGCAGAAATTGCGAGTGCCAGGCATGTCTTCTGGAAAGAGGGTCCAGAACTTCTCAAAGGAGGCTGATCGCCAGAAAAGGTTGAGAACCACTTCTCTATATATTTTCAATACTATTTCTAGTACCTGCTTCAGTCGTACTGTATTTAGCACCCTGTTTACAAAACATTGTGCTAGGAGCTGTAAACAAACATTTGGCAGAGAAACAGTACTTCAAACTTAAGTTTTCAAGGCTTTGACGGAGAGATGGTCTCTTTAAAAATAAGGTCTGCTTTCAACATGAAAAATCAGCAAAGAAGGGAACTAATGTGTGCTGCAACGCTTCTCCAACTTTTCTCCACCTGTTGCACAGTACATTTCATTGTGCCTCATGCATATATACCCACATTGAAATGAAAACAGGCGTCTTATGAAGTAATACGCATACTACGTTATGTATTCTTTTTTACTTTAAATTGCTGGTCACTACACACAAATTGATTTCAAAACTGTACAATCAATAGTTTGGGGCCCTGGCCGGTTTGGCTCAGCGGTTAGAGCGTCGGCCTGCAGTCCAGAGAGACCCGGGTTCGGTTCCCGCTAAGGGCATGTACCTCGGTTGCAGTTTGTCCCCGGCCCTGGTTGGGTTGTGAGGGTGGCAGCCACTCGATGTGTCTCTTTCACATCGATGTGTTTCTCTCTCTCTCCCACCCTATCTGAACAAAATATAAAAAAAAAAATAGTTTGGGTTTTTTTTTTTACCCTCACCCAAGGACATTTTTTCATTCAGATCGAGAGAGAGAGACATCAACGTGAAAGAGACATCGAGTGGTTGCCACCTGCACGACCAACCATGGTCGGGGACAAACTGCAACCGAGGTACCTGCCCTTAGCGGGAACCGAACCCGGGACTCTCTGGACCGCAGTTCGATGGTCTAACCGCTAAAACAAGACAAACCAGCTAGGGCACAATATTGTTAAACTGACATTTATGACGGACTTATTTGTTGAACACTTCCTAGGCCCTAGTGCTTTATATCTATTATCTGACTTAATTCTATGAGGTAGATAATATTCTCCATTTTAAAACCGTGGAAACTAAGTTTGAGAGAGGTTAAGCAATTTAATCTCCCTGGATGGTAATTTCACAAGAAGAGTATGAAGGGAATTCAAACATTGATTTGGGGGATGAATAGAGTAGGTGGATGTCAACTGATTTTTAAGATGTCTTCAACTCTAATTGTTTATGATCCTGAAATCATTAATGGAGAAACAACATGCAGATCTGGCTTGGTCAACAGAGAACAGCAAATCATGTCTAGCCTGAATAAGATAGCTAGAGTGTAATGGTGATGAGTCCCTTTTTTTCTTCTCTTCCAATTCTTATTTCAGGAAGTATCACAACCACCCAGAGTTGCTCGAGTCAGAAACCTGGAAGTCATCCTAGACTCCAGCCTCTCCCCCTCACATCCACTTAGTCAGCAGGTCTTTCAAATCTATATTGTAATGTTTGTCAATGAAATAATTTTAACAATCATGTAGAAACGCAGACACACTAGTAAAAAAGACTTACTCATGAACTTTTGAGTTTTAGAGCTGCTTCCTCTGAGGTCGATTACCTTACTGCAATCAATTTACAAAGACTGCAGCCCACATGTTTAATTAGGCATATTGAGTAACTTCTAGAATGACAAATAATGCTACAAATTAGCCCATTTAGTTGCCTATAAACCACAAAACCTTTGGTTATCAGTGGAATAACTCATATAATTATAAACCATAACTTCTTACTTAACTTTATCCTAAAGTGGATGTTCTGCCTCAAGATTTCTTAAAAACCTGCAATGCCTACAATATACTCCAAATGTTTTTTAACAATTCTGATTCTAACAATTCTGTCTCAGGCATATTTTGGTAGTGAAATCATTAAACAGAAAACAATTTGTCAGAACATATTCTAATTTTGATTCTGGAAATGTGGTAAATGCATGCATACCTTGAGTAGTAAGCTGATTACTTTGTCACCTCAACAATTAACGAATATACCAATCGCCAGTAGGGGGCGTGCCGGAGGCAGCCAATCGATGTTGTCATGGATGTTTCTATCCCTCCCTCCCTCCCCCTTCCTCTCTCATAAATCAATAAAGGAAAAAAATATATATATATATCAATGTATATAATATCCTACTGGTATCAAAAGGTCAAGATAATTTCCAATATACTAATTCCTTCTGAAACATTTCAAAATATTCACCGTATTTCATAGCTTTACCTCTCAACCTGTAGTTCTTATATCACATGGAGAAATCTGACAGGAAATTTTCTAAGAAAAGATTACAGGGAAGGGATTAACTAGCATTTTGAGCTTTCAAGTCTTGGATTTTGCCAGAATGGGTCATAATGTAACAACTTTATTTGCTTAATGTAGGAAACATGCCTATCTCTAAGCAGCTTGAATTCTTTTTTTTTCCCCTAATTTTTTTTTCTTTATTTTTAGAGGGAGAGGGAGAGATAGAAACATCGATGAGAGAGGACATCAATTAGCCACCTCCTGCATGCCCCCCACTGGGGGTTTGGCCCACAACCTGGGCATGGGCCCTGACCGGTAATCAAACTGGTGACCTCTTGGTGCATGGAGTGGATGCTCAAGCACTGAGCCACACCAGCCAGGCAGCAGCTTGAATTCTTAATGAATATCAATACCTTATGCATAGTACAAACAAGCTTTTGAAGGGGAAAAAAAAAACTAATTTCCTTCAGTAAACCACTTAAGGATATTTCAGGACTTCGTTTTCAATACTGAAAAGTACAAACAGTAAAGAAAGATTGTATGTAGTTGTACAAATGCATACGCCCGTACACACAAAAAAAGCTTGATCTGCAGTTCTTTTTGGTCATACACAGAGACTATAGTAGCTTACTACTCAAGGTATACTGTACATACATTTACCACATTCCCAGATTCAAAATTATAATATGTTCTGACAAGTTGGTTTTTTAAAAATATTTTCTCTTTACTGATTTGAGAGAGGGGGAGAGTGAGAGACAGAAACATTGATGAGAAAGAACATCAGCCACCTCCTGCATGCCCCGCGCTGGGTATCGGGACCACAACCCATGCATGTGCCCTGACAGTGACCTCTTGATGCATGGGTCGACACTCAACTACTGAACCACACCGGCCAGGCCTGGCAAGTTTTTTTCTGTTTAATGATTTCACTACCAAAATATGCCTGAGACTATATAGCAAAAGAAACAAAGAGGTACTATAAACTATGAGACAGAAAATAATTTAAGATAAAAGTTCCAATAACACACACATCCTTTTAAAGGATTATTTTTAAAATCCTGCTGGGAGAAGCTATTTTAAAATGACAATTTTGGAGCTTAAGTTGGACAAACAATATTTAAAATGGCTTCTTATACAAATGAACAGAGCTATTTTTATTTATTTATTTATTTATCTATCTATTTATTTATTTATCCTTACCCGAGGACATTTTTCCTTTTTGTTTAGGTGGAGTGGGAGGGAAAGAGGGGAAGAGAGAGAGAGTTTAATGGATGGTTCAAATCTGAACAATTTTTATATTTCAAAAGATTTGTGATAAAAAAAATAGGATCTATGCTTTAAATATTGGAAAGTAACCTGTTTACACTAGAAAACTGATATCAAACTGATCAGTCTAAAAGGTATTAGTAGTATGTATGTGCATATACAATTTTCCTATATGTTAAACATTGACATGATTAAAATATTTTTAATCATATGTCAGAGAAGTTCAAAGTCTATTAATCAGTTTTTAGGTTGCCCCTTTCCATTTATAAATGACACAAAAATAATACTGCAAATTTTTACACAAACTTAAGATGGAAATATTTTCAACAGAATGAGACACCACAATGAAGGCTTCATGAATAATTTATTCCATTTGAAGTTTTGTTTTTTTTTTTGTTTGTTTGTTTTTTTTAAAAAGTATAAACCTTTTCATTTCCTCAATCACAATTTGTACAACTCAGTGTTATGGCATTCGGCAGCAATAGTGTTCCTTATTCTTTTTTTTGTCACCTTTAAAAAAAAAAGCAATTGGACCATATTAAGTGTCACTGCTAAACAACTTTAAAATACCCCTTCATAAAGTGACCAAGCTATTTTGAGCTGATGCTGACACATGTCCAGTAATGATGTTACAATTTGTAGTTTAAGTTCAGTAACTGTAAGGTCCACAAATCCAGTTTACTTTGAAAACTAAAGCTATTTTAAAACTTTATGAATACATTATTAACCTGAGGAGTATTTTAGGTCCCAAATCCAGTTTTTTAATTAATACTCCACAAAAAAGAAAACATATATAAATTTAAAAACCACAGTTCTGGGCCCAATACACCAACAGAAAACCAAAAGGTTAAGATTTCCAGCTGATCTGGGAAGTGAGGGTGGGGCAAACAATGTATGTCAGAAACATTTTTCCTTAATTTAGACAAACTAAAATTTTAAGAGGAAACCCAAACCAAAATATCACTCATGCACATTAGATGTATTAATAGACTGATATGCAATGCCATAGTGGATGAGAGGCAAATTATATGATGCAACAGCATTTAAAAACTTCCTTTTAATGTATTCAATTTGAACATTTTAAATAATGCAACATAGTATTTTGATATTACAGTATTAACATAGTGCTTGATTAAAGATCTGCAAATCTTCGTAGTAACACATTTAGTTAAAAAAAATTACCTCAGAAGGTAAATATGAAGACGAAAAGAATATTTTAATACAGTAATCTGTGCCATACTGACAATTGAGTACGAATACAGCTGAGGATAGTTGACTAAGTAGTAAGAGCTTAATTTTAGTGGTTTAAGAAAGGTTTAGAAAGATTAAAAATTACAACTACTTTAAAATTTAAGGATTACATATAAGTACACTTGGTGGCCTTCTGGCCAAACAATAAGGTGTACAGAAACCTATTCATACAGTGTTAATTCACAGTCCTGATAACTGGATGGCTTGCATAAGAAAGGTATGGCTGGATGTTTCTCACTGGCTGGAAGCAGACATTACGTAAGTAATCTTTTTCAATGCCAAAACACTGAACTTCCACTCTGCTTTGTAATGGAAAACTGCACAAAGAAACAGATATTAGCACTGTAACAAAGAAGTCAAGGTGTTGGTGATCAACTGGTATAAAGTATATTATTTTGCTTACATATTTAAACAAAACAAACTACCCATACTTGTCTGTGACAGTACATTAGTAAGTCAGATCCATCATCCTGCATAAAAGGCCTTTTTTTCTGAAATAAGTCTCCTGACCTTCTCTAATGGCTATTAAATAATTTTCTATTTGAGTGTGAACTTATATATGAAAGGAAGAAAAAAAATCTTATCAGTAAATCCTGTATATTTAGGAACTACTCCCTGATTCCCAGATAAAAAGGAATTATATACTGGGTTCATTCCTTATGGCTCCATATAAAAGAAACTGTCAGGGAATAATTTTTTAAAAATCTATTTTCAAACTGAGGTGTGGTTACTAAAGGCTAGTGATTTTAAACAACTGAGAATATAGCTTTTAATTTTAAAAGTCACTATTGTGCTAAGTATATAAAAAAGGATACTTTTTATAGAAATTGCAAATAAGAATCTTTTCCTTCAAATCTCAGACAAGTTTTTTTCAAATAAGTACAGAATAAAACATGCCAACATAATCCTTAGTGTTAGCAAAATTTAAAAATAAATGCAGAGATGTGATCTTTAAATTTTAATTTCAAAATACGCTGACCATTGGGATTGCATAATTTTGAATGATTGATAAATCTTTGTCATCAACTATGTTTTCTTTATAGAAAAAAAGACTTGTTAATATTTTAATATACACAATTTGAAGAAGTTATATTGTTCATAAGAAAGTGATATTTAAGCTAAGCATATAGTATTTACAAAACATGTTTCAGTAAAAAATAAAATAAAATAAAACATACTGAATTACTGCTTTGTAAATACAATTGATTTTGTCCTTGTAAAGAATTAGTGAACTTACAAATGTGGAATTTTGTTAGATTTTTTCCAAGAAAGATAGGTAGACTTGGCGACTGTGAATTCAAGTCAGCAACACAGGTAGGAGGCTAACTTGGACTCTCTTGTGAGCAGCACTGTAGGAAGGATCTTTCAAGGGGGTAAAGCCTGCATAAACGCAGTTATCTTGGCATGTGCAAACAAGATGGGGAAAGCTGTATGGAAGGAAGGGGTGAATTAATTAAAGTCCCTAAAATTCAAGTCCCTTCTTTAGGGAGGTGAGAACCTCCTTGGCATGTGTCCTGCCTTAATCTGACTGTATTATAGAAAAGTACAGACTCTGGTGTTTGGGACTGTCATCTCCAAACCAAGAAAATTAAATAAATAAAAAGGCAAAGGGAAAACAAACAGATTAAGTTTAGAAAATGGTTTTTAACTAGTGAAACAGAGTCTGAATACCAGAATTCACTGAGAATCTATTTACACCACAGTTTGATTGCACACACACACACACGCACACGCACACGCACACTCTCACACACATTCCCAATCTTTAATTAAAAAAAAAAAGTCAAACAATCAAGAGTGACTGCTCTTAAAATAATTTGTAAAATGCCTAGAGCTGGGCTAAATTTCAACCTTATAGCAGATCCTGAAGATAATTTTCATAATTAATAATATTCCCATGCCTAGATGTGCCACTGTTAAAACTGAAAAAAATTTAAACATGTAACATTAAACACCAAAATTAGTTTAAGCATTCAGTAGCAAATGTTTTTCTTGTAAAACTAAGTTTTTTTTTCCCCACTGGAAATGGCCTGAAATATTAGTCATAGCCCTAAACCATAGTACAAAATATAACTGAAGAATTCTCATTTTATTCTAAGTTAAACCACTTAACAATATCACTTGTATATTGCCATCATGTTATTATGTAAAGGTGTGATATATAAAATGCTGTAAGACCTGGTACCTTTTCAATTTATAAACACAGTGAACTTCATTACTGTACATGTACTCTGCAACTACAGCTTAGCTGTAAATCCTCCACACACAATGGTATGGACATTATTCCCCTCTATTCCCATTAAACTGTACATCGAGACAATACAAATTTACTGTCCCACCCACCCCCTTACAAAAAAATAATACTCTAAAAGCAACCCTACTGCAACTTTTTAATTAAGACGATTACATATATTTTAGACCAATTGCTTTAAAGCAAGAAGGCAGTATAAACCTTCTAGGAAAATTTTTATAAAAGAGGTTAAGAAATATAAGACAATTTATACATTTAAAAACTTACAATAAATAAGAGATGCAGGCATTTTGAATACTAGATACTATACTCCAATACAAGAACATCTTGATGTTCTGAAACCATATGTTGAAATTCATTGTTCCTCATTTCCTCTCCATGCTTTTAATATTCATTTAACATGACTGGGTACTATGGCTCATTACTTTTCACAAATACTGTGACTGGAAAAAAAAAGGTTAATTTTGCTAAGAAAATGTTATAATACGTTTTGTATGATCAGTCATCATCCTAAAGAGTTCAGTATAGTCAATGAAAAATAGCAGAGTTATAGCCCCTCCCCCCAAGTCAAAACAATATTTGTTGAAGTAATAAGAATTAGACCCCATCACAAATTACTTTCACTGAGAAGATAACTGTAACTTAATCTTGCAGCGAATGTCTTTTTTCCTTGTTCTTTTCTTGCACAATTCCATCAAATGTAGATCACAGCATATTCATGATAAAGTTATATAACTGATTCAGCACCACAAAATGAATCGGGAGACACGAGCGTCTGTCCTGGATTGCAGGGTCACAGGTTAGCCAGGAGAGTGCATTGTACTGTTCCAAAACAAACCTGAAAAGCAAATAAACTGTTTAAGTCATGTATTTATACTGTGGATTTTGGAAGAAATTTCCAGTTATGGCATCTAAGATTCAAAATCACTTTTTTAAAAGGTGGAAAATCACTTTTTTAAAAGGTGGAAGGGCCCTGGCCGGTGTTGCCCAGTTGGTTGAGCGTCGTCCTGTGCGGCTGGTTAAATTCCCAGTCAGGCCCTGGCCAGTTTGGCTCAGCGGTTGGAGCATCAGCCTGCGGTCCAGAGAGACCTGGGTTCATCCCCACTAAGGGCGTGTACCTCAGTTGCAGTTTGTCCCCGGCCCTGGTTGGGTTGTGCAGATGACAGCCACTCGATGTGTCCCCTTCACGTCAATGTTTCTCTCTCTCTCTCTCTCTCTCTTCCTCTCTTTCCCTCCCATTCTATCTGAACAAAAAATGGAAAACTGTCCTCAGGTGAGGATTAAAAAAAAAAATTCCCAGTCAAGACACATACCCAGGTTGTGGGTTCAATCCCCAGTCGGGGTGAGTACAAAGGCAACCAATCGATATTGCTATCTCACATTGATGTTTCTCTTTCTCTCCCTCTCCCATCCTCTCTCTCTAAAATCAATAAAAACTTTTTTTTATTTTTTATCCTCACCGGAGGACATTTTTCCATTTTTTGTTCAGATAGAGTGGGAGGGAGAGAGAGAGAAACATCAACATGAAAGGGACACATCAAGTGGTCACCACCCACATGACCCAACTAGGGCCGGGGACAAACTGCAACTGAGGTACGTGCCCTTAGCAGGAACCGAACCCGGGTCTCTCTGGACCACAGGCCGACGCTCTAACCGCTGAGCCAAACCGGCCAGGGCTCAATAAAAACATATTTTTTAAGAAATGTGGAAGGTATAGAATAGTGTGTCCTTGTGGAGATTAAAGATAATCTTCATAAAAATTACTCTCAAAAGATCACAAGTTAGAAAGAAAGAGCACTCATTCTGAATGGTATCATTCATCTAGAGATCCAAGGGTATTATTCGACCATAAACTACTGCCAAAAATAAAAAAAAATGTGTAAGGACCAACACTATACTCATTCACAGTTACAGTGGAGAATCTTAGTGGTAGAAAAAGCTGTACCTGAGGACATCTGAAGTCTGATTGGAGTCAAGTGGGTGGGAGTGTTTACTGTGAAGCAGCTCGTCAGATTGCACTGAAGGCACGTGGAGGTGCAAAGAGGCCTAAAAAAGTAACAGGATGTCAGCCAAATGAAAAAACCATGGTGTCTTCCTTGATGAAATACATTTCAGAACTGTGTAAGGAATGGGAGCCACTATGAAAATACTTGTTGTTCTTGTTTAACTCATTACAGAAGTAATTTTTAAGTGTGTATATATATTGAATCTTATTTCCTTTCCTTCAGCTTTTTTTTGAGACCACACGATAATCTTTTAGAAAGGGATTTCCAATTATTTTCTAAGTATAACCTGCCTAGATGTGATAAACCTGAGTACAGTCTGTTCCTAGGTTACACAGAACTTAAGACTATACAGATATAACTAGAAAAAAGTTAACAGGAGTAAGCATATGCAAATATTTTACTTATAAAGTTATAAATTGTTTTTTTCCTTGGTTAAAATAACTTCTTTATTTTAAAACTATAGGAAGACAGATTTGGAACAGTCAAGAGAAGGGCAAGGAGATATTTGAAAAATCCAACAGATTTATTTTTGTCTTGAAAACCAAACTCTGATTTTCAGGAAATAGTCTTAGGAATTAGCTAGCTCTCTTGGGTTTTACTACTAGTGAACAGTCAAAAACGCCCCACAGAGGACTTTGGGCACAAGAGTGATGGCCCATCCAGTCCCCACACTGTTCTTTGCACTCCTCTGATGGCCCCAATGGCAGTCACTGTACAAAATACCACCTTTATTATTTTGTAAGAAATGACTTCTGTGAACCAAGTGCTTATGAAAAAAAGCTCAGCAACTAAAATCAAGTTCTGTATTTTAAAAAAGGGAAAAAAAAAGCCACACAGCTGCTATGGGTCCCTAGGCCATTTGAAACAAAAGCCCACCTCGCTTTAAAGTATGCCCCACAGAAAAATGAATCTCTCATATCAGTCAAACTCTGTGTTCATTTTCTGATCTCCTGGCACTGTGCTACTTGAAGCTAGACATTTTAGCCAAAGCTATCTTTGGTGGGATTGTGTGAACTTTAAGTAACACAGTACACAGATGCCTTCTTCTGCCCGCTTAATTTCATAATGCAGCAACAACTGGCACATCCATTTAGGTATGGCAAATAGTAAAAGAAATGAATATGGTATCCTTCACATTTCTATTTTAAAAAGTGAACCATTTTGTTTATGTCAATACATAATAGTGCTAAAAAGCTTAACAAGATGATGGTGCTGACTGCAGAAACTCTTGGTAGACTTCATTCTGTACACCATAAAAGGTACTATCTTGTATTTAGGTGCTCCCCCCTCTACAACTATAATACATGTAAAAATTATTCAGTCATATATTAAAAAATATATTCCAAAGATATATATTAAAAAAATATTTTAGTTAAAAACTATAACCATATATATATTTCTAATGTACATAAATTCTTGACTTACACTTTATAAGAAGTCTAATATGGCAGATCACTACTCATTAAATCAACGTCATTAGTACCAGTATTCTAATTTCTACAATAAAAAGATATTTTAATCGTCTAGTTAATAACCTATTATTTTTCCAAGCAAAGAAAACCATACAAGGTAGTTTTACTATGGTATAGAAATAAAAGAGTTTATATAAAAACAAAAGGTGAGCCCTGGCCGGTTTGGCTCAGCGGTTAGAGTGTCAGCCTTTGGCCCGGAGAGACCCAGGTTCGGTTCCTACTAGAGGCACATACCTTGGTTGCAGTTTGTCCCTGGCCCTGGTTGGGTCATGCGGGTGGCAACCACTCGATGTATCCCTTTCACGTCGAGGTTTCTCTCTCTCCCACTCTATCTGAACAAAAAGTGGAAAAATTTCCTCGGGTGAGGATAAAAACAAAAAAAAGGTGAGGCCCTGGCCCAGTAGCTCAGCTGGTTAGAGAGTCGTCCCAATACACCAAGGTTGCAAATGCTTAAATAAGTGGAACAAACCAATGTTTCTTGCTCTCTTCCCCCACCCTTCTCTCTCTTTCAAATCAGTAAATAAGAAAAAGTGAATAAAACTGTGGTAAGTTATGCCTTACTTGGTAATTCACATCAGAAATCCTAATCTTGTTAAACTCTATCAGAGGGTGAATGCTCACTTTACATTATCTTCTCTGCAAATAAATACTGAGTAGAAAAGAATCTAGATAGTCCCTTGGACTTTTTGTAAAGTTGTGTTACCTTAAAAAAATGTCCCATGAAACACCACGGTCATGAACTATTAATACGTATTACACAATCCTTTTGTGTACTAACCTAAGTTTAGAAAATAGCAGGTAAAAAATGTTATTTGCTGCTGTTTTTCAGAGCATTTAATGTGCATACATATACCATAACAAAAGGGGGCAGAAAGCATGTGCAGCACTTCCCAAAGGACCAAAGAGCCCTTTGTTTTGTACAAACTCCAAGGACTACTATTCTACCGAAACCCTCTTGGGAATGTGTTCTTGTAATGAGATCTGTATAGACCACTGCACACATATTAGAAGGAAAAGAAAAGTCATATGAAAGAACTAATTATTACCTTGGCTGACACTCTCTAAATGTATTATCTCATTAATAGTCAATTCAGATAAACAACTGTTGCATTTTTTTTTTTTTTTATTTGAGGGGGGCGGTAGGGAGAAGTGAGAGGGAAGGGTAGGGAGAGAGGAAGAGAGGGAGAGAGAGAGAGGGACATATCAATTTGCTGTTCCTCTTATTTACTAATTCACTGGTTGATTTTTGTATGTGCCTTGACCAGGATGGAACCCACAGCCTTGGTTAGGATGACACTCTAACCAACTGAACTACCCAGCCAGGGCTACTGTATTCTTTATGAATGTACTATATAAGTTCACTACTTAATTTCAAATGACACTGACTCAATAGTATGTATGCCAAATATATCAGGATTTAATAACAAGCTTAGAAGATAGCAACAAGCCAACTGGTTCATGTACCCATTAAAATATAACCCCAAGAAACTAAAGCATACTATTCAACTTTTACAAATAAAAATCAGCAAGTAGTTAAATTAACATGACTTATGGAATAACAGTCAATTTCTGGTGGGTTTATATAAGAATATGTGAATTATATCTGAATTTGTTACTTTGGAATAATATTAGCAGCTGCTACTATTTTGTTAATACAGACTCTTCATAGGGCTTTCACATCTCATTTTGCCATTTTATGACTTATCTCAACCTCATTATATCACTTGCTAATGAATTTGTTTGCAGAAAATAAGTTACTATGGGTCCAAGAATCTCATTACTTGAAAACCTCTCAGTAGTTTTAACATAGCAATTTACACAAAGCTAGAAAGGATTTTTGAGAAAGTGGTAAATGGATCTAAATATCAAGTATTCTTAAAAAGATTATGACTCCTTTAATCCTCAAAATAATGCAGAATAGGAGTGCCAGATGATGTAATTCAAAGGGTAACCTTATAATCATTAAAAGATCCAGATTTTAATCTTGAGTCTACTTTTGGACAAGTGAGTGTTCTGTAACTTTAATATGCTCACCTAGATAATGAAATGGTAAGATTAAAGGTAATAAAAGGTTTCTCCCAGCTCTAAACTTCAAACATGCAGTTAAAAATAATATGAGCAAGGGTCCCAGAAGTTTAAGATTAAAAGTTCAAACTTATTATAAATTTTAAAATTAGAGCTGTTTAATTAAATAATTCTGTTTGTGATCCTGTGTAGAAAGTCGTATGTGGCAAAGCATTCAGGACCTCAGACAAAGCTACAAGGTTTCAAAAGACCACTTCTATATTTCTTAGGACTTAAGTAATCAATTAGCATTACTTAGGAACTGACATAGATATGGCAATACCTTAAGAAAAAGGGGACACTGATATTGTGCTTGAGGACATGCTGACCAGAACCAGTCAGGTAATGGACCTGCTTTGGCAGTTGATACAAAGTAACCAAGGGCCAATGGTTGCTGAAGAATATTAGTTACTTCATCATGAGACTCTGTTGAAAGTAGTCGATCAGTACTCTGACCCTTAAAAAGACAAAATAATAAATGTGTTAGTTCATTTGATATGTCTAGGTACCAGATATAAATACAGAATGGCTTATGGAAATCAATCACTTTTGATTTAAAAATACTGAAGGATATTTAAAAAACTTCTAGGTACTTATTAAGAGTATAATTATAGCATTAAAAGAATGAGTTTTAACAGCTGAAATGACATATTCAGAGTGTGTGTATGTGTGTGTAAATCTTTGCAGCTGACTGAAAAATACAAAATGTTTAATGAAATTTCTGCATTCTTTTCTAAAACTCCTTCAACTAATTCCTGACCACCAACCCCCATTCAGAAGGTGGATTAAAATTTAGCTTTGGCCCTGGCCGGTGTGATTTGGTTAGTTGGGCATCATCCCCTGCACCCTCCCCCTGCCGGTTGGATTCCTGGTCAGGACACATGCCCAGGTTGCAGGCTCAGTCCCCAGTGGGGAGCATGCAGGAAGTGGCCAGTTGATGTTCTCTCTCATTGATGTTTCCATCTCTCTCTCTCTAATATCAATAAAGAAAAAAATATATAGCCCTAGCCAATTTGGCTCGGCGGTCAGAGCATCGGCCTGCAGACCAGGGAGTCCCGGGTTCAGTTCCCACTGGCAGCATGTATCTCGGTTGCAGTTTGTCCCCACCCCGGCTGGGGTCGTGTGGGTGGTGGCCAGTTGGTGTGTCCCTCTCACATCATGTTTCTCTTTCTTCCAACCTCTCCCTCCCACTCTATCTGAAGATAAATGCAAGGATGTCCTCAGGTGAGGATACCAAAAAAAAAACAAACACCACATATACGAAATGTATTTATTTTTAAATCCTCAACCGAGGATATTTTTTCCATCCACCTTCAGATAGAGTGGGAGGGAGGTTGGGGGGGGGTGAAAAGGGAAGAAGAGAGAGAAAGAGTGAGAAAGAGAGAGGAACACCGATGTGAGAGAAACACATCAATTGGTTGCCTCCTGCACAACCCTGACCAGGGCCAGGGACCAAATTGCAACCAAGGTACATGCCCTTGACCAGAATCGAACCCGAGACTCTTTGGTCTACAGGCCAATGCCCTAACTGCTGAGCCAAACCGGCCAGGGCAATAAAAATATATTTAAAAAAAATAGTTTTGTTTATCTAGCACTATCTATAAAATGCAATTCATAATGATTTGGAAAGCATTATGACAACTATTAAGTGATGCTCGTATCCTTTGTATTCGTCAATATATTTGGGCATTTATTTTAAGGAAAATGATAATGCATGAAAATGTTCATTGTAACATTACTTATAACAGAAAAAAAAATAATTTCAATGCCCAACGTTTTGGGAATGATGTAACAAATGATACTACAACAACAATGTAATGTTAAAAAGCTGATTATACTTATTGAAATCTACAATATAAATACACGTAGAAGGTAATTTGCTAAAATTAAAAAGTTTTATTAGAGTGGTGAGATTATTGGTGTTTTTTCCTCATATATTTTTTTCAACAATTTCATTCTTTTTCAGTTAAAAAAAGAAAGTATGGCCCTGGCCGGTTTGGCTCAGCGGTTAGAGCGTTGGCCTGCGGTCCAGAGAGACCCGGGTTCGGTTCCTGCTAGGAGCATGTACCTCAGTTGCAGTTTGTCCCCAGCCCTGGTTGGTTGTGCGGGTGGCAGCCACTCGATGTGTCCCTTTCATGCCGATGTTTCTCTCTCTCTCTCTTCCTCTCTCTCTCTCCCACTCTACCTGAACAAAAAACGGAAAAATGTTCTCGGGTGAGGATTTAAAAAAAAAAAAAAAGAGCCCTGGCCGGTTTGGCTCAGCAGTTAGAGCGTTGACCTGCGGTCCTGAGAGACCCGGGTTCGGTTCCCGCTAAGGGCGCGTACCTCGGTTGCAGTTTGTCCCCGGCCCTGGTCGGTCGTGCGGGTGGCAGCCACTTGATGTGTCCCTTCACGTCTATGTTTCTCTCTCTCTCTCCCTTCCTCTCTCCCCCTCCCACTCTACCTGAACAAAAAAATTGAAAAATGTCCTCGGGTGAGGATAAAAAATATATATTAAAAAAAAAAAAGAAAAAGAAAAAGAAAGAATGAATGAAAGGTAATTAGACTGGACAAAGATTCTTATTTTTAAAAAGCAGTTTCTGTCCTGCCCTTGCTGATTTGGCTCAGCAGTCAGAGTGTCTGCCACAGACCAAAGGGTCATGCGTTCAATTCCAAGTCAAGGGTATGTACCTGGGTTGCAGGTTTGATCCCTGGCCCCAGTCAGGGTCATGTGGGAGGCAATCAACCAATGTGTCTCTCTCACATCAATGTTTCTCTCTCCCTCCCTTCCACTCTATCTAAAAATCAATGGAGCCTGGCCGGTGTGGCTCAGTCATCCCATAGACTGAGAGGTCTGGGTTTGATTCCTGGTCAGGGCATTTGCCCAGGTTGTGGGCTTGATCCCCAGTAGGGGGCATGCAGGAGGCAGCCGATTGATGTTTCTCTCTCGCACTGATATTTCTCTCTCTCTCTCCCGTCCTCTCTTTCTCTAAAAAAAATCAATAAAGACATATTTTTTTTAATTATAAAAATCAATGGAAAAATATCCTCCAGTGAGGATTAGCAAAAAATTTTAAAAAAATAAAAAGGCAGGTTCTAAATATATACATACTGAAGTAGTCAAACAACTACTACTTATAATTTCAGTCAAATAAAGATGTTATTCAAATGAAGACAATTAGTTTTGAGTTCAAACAGTAACAGAAAATAGCTTGCTTCCATAACTGCTAAATATAAACAGCAGTTGGGGGCAGGCTGGTCAGTGTTTTTTTCTGTTATTATGAGAAAATTAGTATTTCTATTATGTTGCTTGTCATAGCCCTGATATGAATGGCAGCTCTTATAGCAATATACTAAATCTTAGATAATTCGATTCTATACCTGAATAGAAGCTATGGTGAAGTGGTAGGAAAAATACAAAAGAAGGTTTAATACAAAGTAGTCTAGAAAACATGAAGTCAGGGAAAGCAGAGCCACAGAGACCCTCTTAACAATACACAATTCGAAGTACTCAGGTCTATAGAGTAGAAATGCATGAATGTACTGTTGTCACTTTTGCTCATTTCAAAGTAAAAACAGCACTCCATTTCATGGATCAATTCACTCCTAAGTTAAATAAACTAAAGTTTTACAATTGGTTTACCTTGCCAGCATCACCTCCATGGGGATAATGAGATCCTGGAGAATGTACAGGAGACCCCGTTGGAGATGCATGAAGATTATTAATGATATCAGGGTCAAGATCATCTGCTGTGTCTAGCAAATCAAAGAGACCCATTCCATCTGCTATAGGAGAAAAAAAATTTAAATACTCCATTTTTCATCTCATAGTTATTTACAGGAAAAAAATAAAATAAATTTAACCAACATCTACTGAATGCCTACCATGTGCCAAGTATTATGCTGGGATCCATATAAATAATTATGCATAGAAAATGATTATGCATTGATGAGCATGTAGTAGTCTGAATAATGCCCCCCACAAAGATGCCCACGGCCTAATCCCAGGAATCTGTTTATCATAAAACATTTTGCAGATGTGATTAAGCTAAGGATCTTGAAAGGGGGAGATAATTCTGGCTTATCCAGGTGGTCCAATCACAGGGGCCCTAATAACAGGGAGGCAGCAGAGTTAGAGTCAGGAAAGGAGATGTGCTGATACTATACTGCTGGTGTTGAAGATGGAAAAAAGGGCCATGAGCAAGAGATGCAAGTGGTCTCTAAAGCTGGCAAAGGCAAGGAAACAGAATGTCCCTTAGAGTCTCCAGAAAGAACCAACCCTGCAGACTCTCTGCCTTGAGCCCAGTAAGACTTCTAACTTCCAAAACTGTGTAATAAGTGTGTGTTATTGTAAGTCATTAAGCATGTGGAAATTTGTTACAGCAGCAACAGGAAATTACAGAGCAAACACAGTATGCTGGAAATGAAAATGTATTTAAAATGACTCTTCATATTTAAAACATGTATTTTTATTTCATGATTTTGAGAGAGAAAGGAAGGGAGGGAGAGAAAGGAAGAAACATTGATAGGAGATCGGCTGGCTGCCTTCTGCACACCCCCTACCAGGGTTCAAGCCCGCAACCTGGGCATGTGCCTTGACCAGGAATCAAACTAATAATCTCTTAGAGCATGGGACGATGCTCAACCAACTGAGCCACACTGGCCAGGGCTAATACACATATTCTTTTTTATTAAGTGAAACCTTCAAGTTATTATAAAACACACAAAAGAAGAGAGTAATTAATACCCACACTGGGACTGTAGAGATGTGCATTTTCTAGAGTAACTCAGAGCAACAATAGAATATATTTTCTCTTCTATTAAAATGCAATCTATACATTCACTGAGAAAAGTTACATTCCTATTCTAATAGTTTATATAAATTATTATATTATTTTGACAAATCAAGATAGAAAAGAGCTGCAAAGTGTATATATATATAGGTAACTCAATAGCACAGGCAAAAACCTGTACAAACATTTCATAACCAGTGTTATCTTTTAAAATAAGTAAATATTGCCCTGGCCGGTTTGGCTCAGTGGTTAGAGTGTCGGCCTGCGGTCCAGAGAGACCCGGGTTCGGTTCCCGCTAAGGGCACGTACCTCGGTTGCAGTTTGTCCCTGGCCCTGGTTGGGTCGTGCGGGTGGCAGCCACTCGATGTGTACCTTTCATGCCGATATTTCTCTCTCTCTCTCTCTTCCTCTCTCTCCCTCCTGCTCTATCTGAACAAAAAATGAAAAAATGTCTTCGGGTGAGGATAAAAAAAGAAATAAAATAAAATAAGTAAATATTTATGAGATAATTCATAGCACCAGTTCTGGTATCAATAAGGTAAAAGAATGTTGTATTAGTTTTCTGTTGCTGCTTTAACAAATTATCACAAACTAGTTGACTTGAAACATCACACATTTATTCTTTTAAAGTTATGGGGTACAGAAGTCCAAATTCCATTTTATTGGGCTGAAATCAAAGCCTGGTCATTAGGCCAAAATCAAGGAATCAGCAGGGCTGTGGTAACTTGTAGAGGATCCAGAAGGCAGTCTGTTTCCTTATCTTTTCCAGCACCTAGAACTGTATTCCTTGGTTCATGGTCCCTTTCTCCACCTTCAAAGCCAGTAGTATAGCAGCATTGTTTTTCTCTGACTTTGCTTCCCTCTGTTTCCATCACTTGGTCTTCCCCACTCTGGTGTATAGTCAAACTTCCCTCTCACAAGGATACATGTGACTGCATTTAGGGCTGACCTGCATAACAGGATAATCTTTCCATCTCAAGATCCTTCATTTAATCACATCTGCAGTCTTTTGGGGGGGGGGGAGCTATATCAGGAAGACTTATTTGATATTTGCAAAACCTTTAAAGAATAATTCACCTACCATTGTTGGGATTGAAAGCTAAGTCCAAATTTTCAGTTGTATAAGTAGCTGAAGCTACTTGCACAGAAGCAGAAGTAGGGAACACAAGTATATGAGTACATGATGTATCCTGTGGGGTATTTAGCTGAGATGTCTGCATGTTTAGAGTGGTGCTTCTTCCAAATACAGAACCAGTTGACACCGAATCTGAAAAAAAAAAAAAAAAATTATTTTTTCTTTTAGTAAATGAAGAATCAATTTTACATAATATTTAGAAACATAAGCACATGAAGAATTAATTCTGATATAAACTAAAATAGCTAACCTGGCATAATAACAAAAGAGCCTTGGGGTTCCATTGCTACCAAGCAAGCACTGAGAATGCTGGGAGAGTCTGCAGCAGATATACCACACATTCTACACATGTCTTTCAGCCTTTTACTTAGAGACTGCAAGTTTCGACGACTCAGCAAACAGCTCCAATCTGTGGGTATCAACAGTAAAAAAACAATAATCTAAAGTAACATCATTATTAACAACCTACAGAACCAAAGTTGAAACATAATGGTTTTAAAATTAGTGTCATCATCAAGCCAAAATTGTCTTATTGGTGATATTATTCAACATTCTTTATCACCCTAGTTTAATGTACATCAATACCAATTAGTATCTGCTGAACAGAGGGTAAGTTGAATAATAAAAAGGAAAAAAATAAAAAAATAGTAATGGCACTAATATTAAAGTTGTAAATATTGTAAAATGTACTTTTAGATTTTGAATTAAGCCATTTGTGGCCTAAACATCTGTAGTTCTTGAAAAACAAAAATCAAGGGGGGGAGGGGAGGAGGGTGTCAATGGGGGAAAAATGAGAAACATCTGTAACAAAAACAAATTAATAAATGAAAAATAAATACATTTAAAAAAATAAAATAAAAACAAAAATCAATACCAAAAAAAGTTTTTATAACCTATGCATTTTATCCAGTACTTATACCTAGATGTGGTCTGAACAGTATGAATTAACATAAAACAGAAATCTAAATACTAAATAATAAAAGTATAATTTTACCTTTCAATTCTCCATGACCAATCCTTCCTAAACGGCCAATTACAACTCTCCATGGTAATGAACTCATTTGTACAAGTCCTAAGCACCATTCCCAAAGTTTCTGTAGACCAAATCTTCTAGCAGATCCTTTTTTTCTGCGAGCCCTATATTGTATAAAATAGACAGTCATAAATATTCATATGACATTTCAAAACAGCTCAAATTTGTAAAAATCTGGTCCCTTAAATTTAATGCTTGAAACTTTTTACACAAGTCCTAAGCAAGAATATATGTAAAATCATACAGGTGGCATGCTAGTTCGTGGTTTTTTTTAACATATATTAAAACATACACTACTCTGAATGAAAAACTGTCCATGAACCAACAAAATTCACCAGAAACACTGCACTACAGCAGAGATGGGCAAAATTTTAAAGGGCCAATATTTTAAGTTTTGTAGGCCATCAAAATTGTGTTGCAACAATTCAACTCTGCTGCTGCAGCATGAAATCAGCCATAGACAATAATTAAATAACTGTGGCCAGCCAGATTTGGCCCACAAGTTATAGTTTGCCAACCCTTGCCTTACACTTTAAGTTGAAGAATAAAAATAAAAAAAAAACCCACCACACTTCTCAGACCAAACAACATTGTTGAGTTTTCTGTATGCATGTCCTTTATTAGGCAAGTATGTAACATGAGCAACAGTACCTACCATTTATTGAGTACTTACTATGTACCAAGATTAACACCCAATTTACATGTAATACCTCATTTCATCCTAACAACCCTATGACATATAAACATCCTCCCAGAGAAGTAAGCTGTAGCTCAACAGGCTCAAGAATACATAGTCAGGCCCTGGCCGGTTTGGCTCAGCGGTTAGAGCATCCGCCCGCGGTCCGGAGAGACCCGGGTTCGGTTCCCGCTAAGGGCATGTACCTCGATTGCAGTTTGTCCCCGGCCCTGGTTGGTCGTGCGGGTGGCAGCCACTCGATGTGTCCCTTTCACATCGATGTTTCCCTCTCTCTCTCTTCCTCTCTCTCCCTCCCACTCTGTCTGTACAAAAAATGGGAAAAAGTCCTCGAATGAGGATAAAAAAAGAATACATAGTCAGAAAATGGCAGAGTTGGTATTCAAACCCAGATGTCTATGACTCTAGAGTTGCACCTCTTTCTTAATCATTCTCTAATGTCTACTTTCAGTAAAATAGCAACACTATCTTTTTATCGGAAAAATTGTATTATTCTTTCTCTATTCTCTTTCTTATCCTTCACAGATAAGAATACTTGTTCCAAAGCTCGTTTAATTAGTACAACTATCCCATTTAAAAAATTCAAAACTGTATCAAGGAAATGTATCAAATACAGCTTTGAGGTTTCTAAAATAATCAATAAATCTTTATAACCAATAATATAAAATCAATGTTTCCATATTTGCTTTTTCAACACTACTATACCTTAATAATCATTAAATATTTCTGTATATAACCAATTTCTGAACTTAAAATAACAGAACCTTTAAATGAAGAAAATAAAGGATAGGACAAAATCTTAAAAATAAAATTTACTGCCCGGGCCGGTTTGGCTCAGCAGTGAGAGCGTCGGCCTGTGGACCAAAGAGTCGCGGGTTCGATTCCAGTCAAGGGCATGTACCTTGGTTGTGGTTCAGACCCCGGCCCTTAGTCAAGGTCGTGTGGGAGGCAACCAATTGATGTGTCTCTCTCACATCAGTGTTTCTCTTTCTCCTCTCTCTCTTCCCCTCCCACTGTATCTGAAGATAAATGCAAAAATATCCTTGGGTGAGGATTTAAAAAAATAAACAAATAAATAAAAAATAAAAATTACTGTAAGGACTTGCTTTTTAAGATCTAGGCGATGTTCACTAACTTTGAAACATGTTATTAGAAATATTTATTAAGTGATAACTCAAAATGAGACTCACCTGTTGTGACCTATTAGTTACAGTCTTCATAAATAAATAGCTATTATATCTAATCACTACCAAGAAGAATTCTAAAAAGAAAGCCACCATTTTCAGAAGAAACTAACCTTTAAATGGTAAAATTTTCAATCCACAATTTTAGTAAAGGAAGTTCACTCACTCAGTTAATTTAGGGACATATATCTTAGACTATACATGAAAAAACTAAATGTTCTAAGATGCATTACTAGATTTCTCTTTTAATTGCAGAGGGCTTTTTAGTTCCACGTTTCAAAGTTTTTCAGGCTAAAATCACTGTTTCAAACTTTATTACAATGAATTTATTCTCTTTTGTCTGTGCAACAGATTAATCAAAATTATTTTTAATTATCTTAATTATACAATATGAATATTCATTACAAAAAGGTTAAGAATAGCCTGGCTGGTGTGGCTCAGTGGATTGAGCATCATCCCATGGACTGAGAAGTCCCAGTTTGATTCCCAGTCAGGCAGAGGCACACGCCTGGGTTGAGGGTTCAATCCTCAGTAGGGGGCATGCAGGAGGCAACAAATCAATGTTTCTCTCTCTCATTGATGTTTCTCTCTCTCTCCTTTCCTCTCTCTCTAAAATAAAAATATAAAAAAGAGGTAAGAACAGCCACATCTCAAGACTTACTATTTTAATGGATTTTTTTAAAGAGAAACATCAATTTGTTGTCCCATTTATTTATGCATTTATTGGTTGCTCTTTCTATGTGCTCTGACCAGGGATTGAACCTTGGCATATCAGATGACACTCTAACCAACTGAGTTATGCAGCCAGGCTAAGAGAATATTTTAATGCACATGACCTTGAAAAAAGCTTTCAATTCATTAAAAATAAAACATAACTGTGTGTATGAATTTTTTAAAATGGGATGATATAATGATACATTTAAAGATATATAAGTACCTATTTGGGACATCAATGTTAATGATACAAGTTTCTAAAACTTCTCCATATAGATCTGTGCAAGAAGCAAGAATCCATCTTTGATCATGCGATAAACAGTACCCCACGAAAAGAACATTATATTTCTGTCCAGCTTCTCCAAATGTTTCTCCTAGCTCTGTCTGTTTATCCTTCACTGGAGCCAGAATAAAAGGAGGTGTATAAAGTCGAATACACTCTGGTCTCTGTAAAACAAAGAATTAAGGTACTATGATACTACACAATCACAGAAAAATCCTTTATTGAAAAGATTTTTATTAAAAATGTGATATATTATCTCTAACCAATCATAAAATAATTGGAAAATTAAAGCTAAACAGAGAACTGCACTTAGTTTTGCATAAAATCTTAAAATGTATAGTTTTTCAATAACTCTGGTCATGGAAAACATACTTACATCAGGACTTTTAAGAGCAGTTTCCATGGCTAAACCTGGACCAAACCCAGTCAATGTTTTCACATTGGTTGATGTTGGAAGGGGTCTCCGACACTGGGTAAAGGCCGAAAAAGCCAGTGATTTTAAATGCTGTGTATAGATTTGTCTATCTTCGTGCTTCACAGGTTGCAACAGGTACTGACAAGGAACAATCTAAGAATTATAGGCAAATATTACAAAGATTAAACTTCTAACAAGAGAATAAAAAAGGCTGTGGGTTTAAAACTCTAAAAACTTTTACTAGAAAATTTAAACAAAACCAAATTAAAATGATAAGCTAAAGAATTCTCTAGGCTTTTAATAGTCAATTTTACCAATGGGCTATGTAAAAACCTTTAAGAATTTCTACAGAGCCCTGGCCAATTTGGCTCAGTGGTTAGAGACCCGGGTTCAGTTCCTGCTAAGGGCATGTACCTCGGTTGCAGTTTGTCCCTGACCCTGGTTGGGTCATGCGGGTGGCAACCACTCAATGTGTCCCTTTCATGTCAATGTTTCTCTTTTTCTTTCTTTCTTTCTCTTTCTCTTTCTCTTTCTCTCTCTCTCTCTCTCTCTCTCTCTCTCTCTCTCCCCTCCTCCCTCCCTCCCTCCCTCCCTCTCTCTATCTGAACAAAAAACGAAAAAGCCATGGCCGGTTTGGCTCAGCGGTTAGAGCAGCGGTTAGAGCATCGGCCTGTGGTCCAGAGAGACCAGGGTTCGGTTTCCACTAAGGGCACGTACCTCGATTGCAGTCAGTCCCCGGCCCTGGTTGGTCATGTGGGTGGCAGCCACTCGATGTGTCCCTTTCATGTCGATGTTTCTCTCTCTCTCTCTCTCTCTCTCTCTCTCTCTCCCTCCCTCCCTCCCTCCCTCCCTCCCTCCCACTCTATCTGGATAAAAAATGGAAAAATGTCCTCGGGTGAGGATTAAAAAAATAATAATAATAAATAACGAAAAAATGTTCTTGGGTGAGGATAAAAAAAAAAGAATTTCTACAGAGCAGTTATATTGACACTGACTAGTTCTGTTGCAGTCTATAAATAATTCAGTCTCTGTAAATAACTCAATATGCTTAAATTCTTCTTACTTTTACTTGCAATCTCTCTTATTTAGAACTTTAGCTTATATAGGTCCATACTCTAATTTTTGTATTTAAGTTTATGAATTAAAAACTGCTTTATAAAAGTAACACGGGAAACATTTCATGGACTTCGTGCAATCTTTATTTTCCATTATTATTATGGTTCCTTTTATTTTCCATTATTATTGTGGTATAATTGCAAAGTCTATCTTTTATAAACTCTTTAACAGTTCTAGTATAATACCACTTAAAATAAAATCAATATAATAGTACTTGGCTTTTAGAAAATCAATTTAGACTAATATCTTTGAAATGTCTGTTATCTGCAATATTTATCATTCTTACCTGTACAGAAACAGTACTCTTAATATGAGGAGGAAGAGTTTGGACCATTTCCAGAAAGCATCGAAGTAGCCCCAGAGTCCATACATTAGAAGAATTAGTGCTCTCATCTTTATTTTCATATGTAAAAGGATCAATTATATAAACAACAATAGCAGGTGGATAAGTGATTGCATGTGAGTCACCATCTGTGGGGATACCCACTTTATCCCGATCCATCGTGCTAAAATTCAAGGTAGAAAGACAGTTAGGATAAAAGTTGTACTATACCTTTCTTGGGGTATCATTAAAAGCAGGTTCTTAATACCTCATCCCCTTTCCAGAGAACCTATCTAAAAATGAAGGACATCTTTTTCTCTTCAAAGAGAACCATAAACACTGTATATACAACTTCATGGTGTACAAGATCCTTGGGTTGAGATCTTCCAGCCAGGCGAGTCCTGAGCAGCCCGGCGTGGGATGCTGGGGGCTCTCAGATGGGATGCTGGGGACCCTGAGGTTCTAGGTCTGGGTGGGCAGGCATCCCCACGCTCTGGCCTCGCCACCTGGACCTCCATGGCCCTGAGAAGAGGGGGGCAGGACTCAAGGTGGGGTCTCCTGAGGCTTCTCGTCGCCCCTGCCTTCCCAAGCTCTTGGCCACATTTCACCCCCCTGCCCTTTGTACATTTTTTATCCAGCCCTTTATTATTAGCCAGCATTTACTCAGCCATGGCGAGTGCCCATGTTCATCACCGTAGCTCCCTGCACTGGCCTCCCCTACTTTGGACACTTATTACGTTCTCATACAGTTGTCTGTTTGGTTGTCTATTTATTTGTTTGACTTCAAACTGAACAATAAGCCCCTTGAGGGCAGGGACTGTTTTTTTGGGTTTTTTTTACCCATTCCTAACTCTAGGCTTAGCACTCAGAAAGAAGGCACACAGAAAATGCAGAATAATTAGCTGTTTGGATGCATGAAACCAAAAACTTCCCATGCCCCTCGCTTGTAATCTTTCATTGCCCTCTTTCTTTAACTTCTCTATCTTCTCTCTTTCCCTCCTCAAATAATAGAAAAATTAAAAAAAAAAAAAAAAAAAAAGAATTCTTTAAATCCATAGTTATCAGACACACTAGAGAGCTTAGTGCTTAGGTGATAAAACTGAGACAAAGATAAATTAAATGAGCTGCCCAAGATCACAAAGCAGGCTAGAAGCAGAGCTAGACTAGAAAGAAATCAGGTTTCCAAACTTAGTCAATGTTCCCCTACATTTTTAGCTATACGCATTCATTTCATACTTTATAACTTCAAAAGTAAATAAAGTTTATTCTTTGATGGTAATATGATTTTTTTTTAACTCCAAATACATTGAGATGTTCAAAATAAATGGATCAATCTGGGTAATAGTTTGATTTTACTCACATAAATGAGTGTAGCTTTGGGCAAAACTGCATCTGAGTAGCTGAAAGATATAACCGAGCTCAGGCTAATCTAACCTATAAATCAGAAGGGAAGCTCACTCAATATCTTCTTCATAAAAGGAATGAAGAGAGTTGTCATCATTACTGTTGTCAAAAATAACTCATGTTTGGAAGCATTGTGTAAAGCACTTAATGTACATTATGTCCTATTGCCCCCACTTTGCAGATAAGGAAACAAGTTCAGAAAGGTTAGATAACTTTCCCAAAGTCACATAGACAGTAAATGGCAGAGCTGAGATTTAAATCTTGGAATGACTCTTAAGCCATTGAACAGGCTGGTTCAACAGTGACTTTCTTAATCACTGGAGTAACTTGCATAGGCAAATCTACTTGACAGTTATGTCATAGAACAGATTCAAATATCATAGGATAGATGGTTTTCAACATCTTAATTCCCAGGCTGAGATTCTAGGAGTCTGTGATAGACTTTATAAAGTCTACATTATAATTATGTAAGTAAAATATTGAACATTATAAAAACTAAAATTTCAAGGATAAGACCAAAAAGCTCTTTGTGTTCATTCGCAATGACTGTCTTATTCAGACAAAAAGAAACATCATATACTTATATTTTTGCAAAATTAGTATATTTAAAAGTACCTTTCAGATACATCGGGATGTGGCTGAGTGGGTAGAGAAGATGACTCTCCAGAAATCCCAGCTGTTTGTAGAGCTGATGACTGTTGCCCTCCTAGCTGGCCATTCTGAACTGTACTGGCTTGCGCAGACATGGATCCTGCAGCACTACTGTTCATACTGCCAAAGGGTGGAAATGAAGGTAGTTTATTTGATGATACTCCACTATTCAAGTTGGAGGATGATGAAGATGAAGTTGAAGTTGTGGTCAAAGTTGAATTAGCTGTGGCAACTGAAGAAGACATGGTAACACCTGACGTCACTGTCATAGTGCTGCTCGCTGCAGATGCTAGGGTGGCAGATGGAGTATTAGCATTTCCAGTATTTGTCATCTGAGGTGGAGTAATCAAAGATTGACTTGTAGGGGCAACTAAATTTGGCTGGGAAAGTAGAGAGCTGTCCAATGGCTGGGAAGCAAGATAAGGACCTAAAGATAATAAAAACAGGCAGGGTATTTAATTCTTTATTTCACTGATTGGTTCTTTATTTATTCAACTATGTGAATAATAGTTAATCGATGCTCTTTTGGTAATTACCCTCCCTAGGTTGCTTGCTAAGAGTGTAGCACATACAAGCTTTCTATTTTCCTAGAAACTAAAGAAACAAAATTTAAATGAAATTGAAAAGGTAAACCAGCATTGCCATACAAAATAGTTTCCATGAAAGTATAATAAAGTTCTATTTCCTATGCATAATTAATTAAATGTAAATAACAGCACCTAGCAAATTTTTATCAAACCATTCAAAGGGTTCCTAAATCACAAGTTAAATAAATACTGACTGCACTGGGAGCCAATTATATATTAAAAGAAGAAATGTTATCATGAGGTTCGAATTATAAGAATGTCTGAGGTTCAGTATTTTGGTTCTGTGTCTCTTTGGATTAAGTCTAAAGTAAGTCCATTGATATTTAATTCAAGAACATTAAAAACAAGTCTTAAACAGTTGTCATTTTCTTAGTTCCAACAAAGAACTGTTTCTTCGTGTTGTAGAGGAAATGACAAGTTTTTTATCTCTAAACCATTAACAAATCAAGAATCTTAATGCTAATAAACTTAAGTACAAACAAATTCATCAGATCCTACAGAAGCAACAGAAAATTGTTTAACCCACAACTTCCTCCTACCTGATGGGATCCCTATTACAGGGATCAGCAAATTTTTTTCTAAGAAGGTTCAGATGGTAATAACTTTGGGCTTTGCGGGTCACAGTCTCTGTCACAACTACTCAGGTCTGATCTTGTAGCACAAAAGCAGGCATAGACAATGTGTAAATAAATGAGCATGGCTGTGTTCCAATAAAATCTTATTTACAAAAACAGCTGGTGGAATGGGCCATACTTTGCTAACACTGGCCTTATATAATAAATGCAAATTCAATACCTAGGTCATATCTGCAGACTTGTGCATAAAGCTTGAGTTTAGAAAATGCTTCATTGTTACCATCAGCTGCCTGAGAAAACCATTCTGCAACCAACTTTTCTGATAGTTTCTTTGATGCAGTAGATCCAACTCTCATGATCCCATCTGTCAACAGTCGAGAAATAGGTCTATGTTGACCTAATCGACAGGACTACAAATATACATATAGAAAGCAGAATTAATGAAATTATCATAGTATTTGAGTACATATTGTAAAATAAACTTTATCACTTATAATTAACATTTGGGATAAAAATATCAAGGGTAAAATGGTGTCATAGATATTTTTCCTTTTTACATTAGAAATTCATTAAACTTCTTTTAAAATTAAAATATCTCCAATAAAATAAAACACCTAGATAATAATGGCACTAGAACTATTTAACTTAAATAATGAAAACTTGAATAGAGAAATAAAAATGCAGTCATTTTAAGTTGTACATCTATCTCAATTCATCTATATGAATACATATATCCTTAAGCAAAAGCAAAATAAAAATTGGTATAGAAATACACTATGTATTTGCCAGCTCTCCCTCCAATTCTATGAGCTACTGATGTCTGTTGTAAGAAGCCTACTATCAAATTAGCTTGTCATACTTGATTTCAAGAAAACTTAGGATTTCTTTACTGTAAGACTTTCAAAGACTCTAAATATCTAATATGAAGAGTGAATCACTATAAGGTAACATCATACACAATGTTTCCTCAAACCTATTTAACTATGGAACTTTATTTCTGGCAAGATTTTGCAGGACCAGTGTTCCAAACAACACTTTTTGGGAAATACTTATTTCTACAAAACACACTACAGATACCTTGTAATTAAGTGGAACATTTATAAGGAGTTAAACCAGCATGAACTAATAATTTAGATTGTAAAAGAAATTAAATTTTAAAGACTGGATTCCCAAAAATTTATGGGAAATGGAAGGTATAATACTTTAAGACTTTATGGCTCATAACACTTTAAGTTTATAATCGCTGCACTCAATGATTGATATAACATGAGAATTAAAACATTAAAGATTAGTCTAGAATTTCAAAAATGAAACAGATCTTATACAGATCTAGCACAACTTTATCTTACAGATGAGGAAAGTGAGGCCTAGTGTAAGTACCTGAGATCCTAGAGAATCAGGACTAGAATTTTTGTAAATGTAATTTTCCTTGGCTATTTAACAATGCTACCCTTTATTTTAGAAAAATATTCTCTTAAATGGGACATACATGTTCTCAATTTTTTCCCCTTAATGTGGCAATTTCCACCATGACCCATTGCACACACAACTAACAAGTGGTCTGGGTCAAATGCTGTAAAGAGTGTAACTGGCACCCTGGCCAGTTTGGCTCTGCAGTTAGAGCGTTGGCCTGCACACCAAAGGGTCAAGGGTTCAATTCCCAGTCAAGGGCATGTACCTGGGTTGTAGGTTCAATCCCCAGCCAAGGTCGGGGTCGTGCAGGAGGCAACCAATTGATAACTCTCTCTCATACTGATTCCTCCCTCCTTCCCTCTCTGCCTTAAAAAAGACTGTAACTGGCTAGTATGAGAAGTAAACATCTTGACATCAAAGAACTTGACATCATTACTATTCTGTCCTAATCAACCATAATTTATATTTAAACATACAAATAATAAGGTACTTTTAAAATGCCACCTTTTGTCCAAATACCTACCTCATATATTGCAGTAAGATCTCTAAAAAAGCTTTTGGCTCCATTTAACAAGGCTTCATTTTCTGGACATAGTACAACATAGGCTATATCTCTTTGAGATCCATACGGTTCCAGCATAAGTCTCTCCCAGTAAGGGAGAGCAAATGGAGAAAGCACCAGAAAATCATAATCATAACTCAACAAAAACGTGGGGATTGGCAGTGGTTCTGGAGATTCATCAGTTCCTAAATAAGAAAGATATATTTTAAGGAAACATTTAAAAGCAGTACATGTCTTTTTATTTAAATGTCAAAAGTTATTCAAGTAGACATCATACGCTGCACAATATTCACTGATACATCACCTAAGGCAAGAAAAACAAAGAAAAAAATGAACACATGGGACTACATCAAACTAAAAAGCTTCTGCACAGCAAAAGAAACAACCATCAAAATGGAAAGGGAACCCACTATATGGGAGAGCAAAATTGCCAATGATACATCAGATAAGAGGTTAATTTCCAAAATACATAGAGTACTCACACAACTCAACAAAAGGAAGACAAAGAACCCAATTAAAAAATGGTCAGAGGACCTAAAGAGACACCTCTCCAAACAGGATATACAAATGGCCAAGAGACATATGTAAAAATGCTCAACATCACTAATCATCAGAGAGATGCAAATTAAAACAACAATAAGGTATCACTTCACACCTGTCAGAATGGCCGCCATCAACAAATCATCAAACAACAAGTGCTGGTGAGGGTGTGGAGAAAAGGGGATCCTAGTACACTGTTGGTGGGAATGCAGACTGGTGCAGCCACTATGAAAATTAATATGGTGTTACCTCAAAAAATTAAAAATTGGCCTTGGCCAGTTTGGTTCAGCGGTAAGAGCATCGGCCTGCGGACTAGAGAGATCTGGGTTCGGTTCCCGCTAAGGGCACGTACCTTGGTTGCAGTATGTCCCAGGCCCTGGTTGATCATGCAGGTGGCAGCCACTCAATGTGTCCCTTTCACGTCAATGTTTCTCTCTCTCTCTCTCTCTTCCCCTCTCACCCTCCCACTCTATCAGAACAAAAAATGGAAAAATGTCCTCGGGTGAGGATAAAAAAAATTTTTTTTAATTAAAAATTGAACTGCCATTTGACCCAGTGATCCCACTTATAGGACTATACCCTAAGAAGTCTGAAACACCAATCAGAAAGGATATATGTACCCCTATGTTCATAGCAGCACTATTTACAAAAGCTAAGATCTAGAAACAGCCCAAGTGTCCATCAGTAGATGAGTGGATAAAAAAGCTGTGGTACATATACACAATGGAGTACTATGCAGCTGCAAGAAAGAAAGATCTCTTATCCTTTGAGACATCATGGAGGGACCAGGAAAGTATTATCCTAAGCGAAACAAGCCAAGCAGAGAAAGACAAATATCACGTGATCTCACTTATTTCTAGAATATAATGAACTAAACAAACTGATGAACAAAATAGACCCAGAGTCATAGAAGTAGGGTAATGACTGACAATCCTCAGAAGGGGGTGGGAGGGTCAGGGATAAACCACAGAACTTACATGCATGTATGAATAACCAATGGACATAGATAACAAAGCTGGGGACAGAGTGGAATGGGATGGGGAGGAGGGTGTCAATGGGAGGGAAAAAGGAGAAACATTTGTAACAAAAATTTTTTTAAATAATTTAAAAAAAAAGTTACTGAAGTCATTATTGGCAGTAAAAATATTTTATTAAAGACAAAAATACTTAAAGCCAGTGATTGAGACTTTTCCACAGGAAATTTGCTAAAATGATCTTTAAAAATACATATGCATTTAAATGCAAAAAAATTAATCTGAATGAAAAAATTTACAAGTACGTATAAAAGAAAACATGGGAGCACAGTTTTAATTTTAATAAATTTGGACTGGGGAAAGCCTTTCTAAGCATAACATAAAACCTATCCTATCTTTTAAAAACTGATTAATCTGACTATATAAATTTTAAATTTTGGTATGAAAAAATAAAATAAAGCTAAATGATTAAGAACAAATTGGAAGAATAACTTGCAATGTATATGGAAAAAAAAAAAGTTAATATACTTACTATATAAAAGGGATAAATTCTTAAGAAAGTGACCAAAAATCTAATAGAAAAATGGGTAAAGAATATGAACAAAGTTCACAGAAATAGAAATATCTCTTACACATAAAAAAATGCTCAATCTCACTCTGGCCAGTTTGGCTCAGCAATTAGAGTGTCAGCCCATGGACTAAAGAGTCATGGGTTCAATTCCGGTTAAGGGCACGTGCCTAGGCTGTGGCTCAGTCTCTGGTCCTGGTTGGGGTCATGTGGGAGACAACCAGTTGATGTGTCTTTCTCTCTCCTTCTGGCTCTTCCTCCCACTCTATTTGAAGATAAATGGAGGAATATCCTCAGGTGACGATTTAAAAAAAGATGCTCAATTTCATGACAAAGCTATTAAAATATTTGGCAATATTTTTTAAAAATACACATATGCTTTAAGCCAGGGATGTTAAAATTACAGAAAAATAGTTGTGATGATAAAGATGGAAACCATCTATGTGTCTATAAACAGTAGAATGGTAAAATAATATCATGTGGAAAAAACAATGAAACACATACAGCCAATAAAGAAAAAGGAAAAACCTCTCCATATGTATTGATCAGTAAAAACTCTGTGTGTATATGTGTTGTGTGTGTGTCTACTATTTTGGTTTTAAAAAGAATGTAAAGCCCTGGCCGGTTTGGCTCAGCGGTTAGAGTGTCGGCCTGTGGTCCGGAGAGACCCGGGTTCAGTTCCCGCTAAGGGCACGTACTTCGGTTGCAGTTTGTCCCCGGCCCTGGTTGGTCGTGCGGGTGGCAGCCACTCGATGTGTCTCTTCACATCGATGTTTCTCGCTCTCTCTCTCCCTCCCACTCTATCTGTACAAAAAATGGAAAAATATCCTCGGGTGAGGATTAAAAAAAAATTAAAAATAAATTAAAAAAAAAGAATGTAAAAACATTATAATTAATCTGGATTTTTCACTATCAAGTTTTTTTTATGAGATTAAAATTATTTAGCCATTAATAAAAGGAGGAAAAGGAAAATATGAGCAAATGTACTATTTCTGTATATATATAACGCATTCTAAACCTATGCACAAAAGTCAGATTTCGAGGTTAAGAACTGTCATTACATATATAGTTTAAAAACTACAATTATATCCCACCTTTCACAGCCAATCTTGAACTGATAATTCAAATGTTTTTAATGTTCTCTTCTATTACAGTTGACCATAAATTTACTAGGCATGTACCATATTGGGAGTTTTCATTTGCTACTCTTGTCACAAATAGCAAATTTGCCTTTTTTTTCTTTAATGAGACCTTGAATACTTTTAGCACTAGTATTACCTGCTCCTTTTTACCCAATTTTTCATTCAGTTTTTGAAAATGATTTACTACAAAAGTGGTATTCCGCTCAGCCGGTGTGGCGCAGTGGTTGAGCATGAACCCATGCACCAAGAGGTAGCCAATTCAATTCCAGGTCATGGCACGTGCCCAGGTTGTGGGCCAAATCCTCAGTGGGGAGCATGCAGGAGGTGGCCAATCAAAGTTCATTCTCATTGATGTTTCTATCTCTCTCCCTCTCCCTTTCTTTCTCTCTCTAAAATCAATAAAGAAAGAAAAAAAATGTTGGCAGTATGATTCTTTCTATAAATAAAATCTCACTGGTCCGTCTAATGTGTAAAAACAGATCTAAGTGAAGCTGTTCTTTTCTGGAGTGAAATGGAGAACCCAGTACCGAATGCTAGAAATATTGAAAGAAAAGCAAGTATTGACAACACTGTCTTAAGTAAAGCATATGACACAATAATATTTAAGGAAAACAACTGTGCTTATTCAAGTTCGGCACAGAAACTGAGAACTGATATAAAATTAGTCAATATACGATAAATTACTTACCGTAAGAGCCTCGGCCAGCCATTTTATGAAACTGTTGCCAAGTGAGAGGACCTTGAACACCCCAAGGCCTCACTGTCCTTTTTTTCTGAATAGCATCCTGAAGAACTGGCTGAAGAGATAGGAGCATTCGAAGTATATCCTGTGAGCACTGCATACTCACATCTACAACCATTAAAAAAAGTAAATAAGAATTGCTATTGCTAACACGAATAAAAACATTTTCACAATAACAAGAAATGCAGATGAAGATTCAGCATCTTCTTGACATAGTTTTATATATAGAAGACCCTAAAGACTCCACCAAAAACTATTAGAAATAAAGTAGCAAGGTATAAAATCAATATACAAAAAAAACCTGTTGCATTTCTATAATCACAAAAAATCAAAAAGATAAATTTTAAAAATCCTATTTACAATCTCAACAAAAATAATAAAATACCTAGGAATAAATTTAACCAAGAAGGTAAAAGACCTGTACACTTAAAACTATAAGACATTGTTAAAAGAAACTGAAGACACAAAGAAATAAAAAGATATTCCGTGCTCATGGATTAGAAGAAAAATGCCCATACTGCCTAAAACAATCTATAGATTTAAAGCAATCCCTCTCAAAATCCCCATGGCATTTTCCACAGAAATAAAACAAAAAATCCTAAAGTTTGTATGGAACTACAAAAGACCCCGAATAGCCAAAGCAATCCTGAGAAAAAAGAACAAAGCTGAGTGCATCACACTCCTGATTTCAAACTATACTACAAAGCTACAGAAACCAAAACAGTATGCTATTAACAAGAAAATAGACAAATGGATAAATGGAACAGTCTAGAGCCCAGAAATAAACTGACACACTTTATGAAAAAGGAGGCAAGAATATATAGAGAAGAGTAAATCTCTTCAATAAACGGTGTTGGGAAAACTACCACATGCAAAAGAATGAAACTAAACTACTACTTTACAACATACACAAAATGAACTAAAACTGGATTAAAGACTTGAACCCAAGGCCGAAACCATTAAAATATACAGAAGAAAACATAGGCGGAGAGCTCTATGACATTAATGTTAGCAATATTTTGTGAATTTGAGTATAACAAGGGAAACAAATGGGGCTGCATAAAACTAAAGAGCTTCGGTACAGCAAAAACACTAATCAACAAAAAATGAAAAGGCATGTACCGAATGGGAAAAAATATTTCCAAATCATACATCTGATAAGCAGTTATTAGCCAAAATATATAGAGAACTCATAAATCTCAACAACAAAAATACAAAAAACCTGGTTTAAAATGGACAGAGATTTAAACAGATATTTCTGCAAAGAAGACATACAGATGGTCAATGGGCACATGAAAAGATATCCATCCCTAATTATTAAGAAAACACAAATCAAAGCCCAAATATCACCTCACACCTATTAGAATGGCTATCATCCAAAAGGCAAGAAACAAGTGTTGGAGAAAATGTAGAGAACCCTCGGCCCTGGTCAGTTTGGCTCAGCAGTTGGAGCGTCGGCCCGTGGACCAGAGAGTCCCAGGTTCAGTTCCTGCTAAGGGCATGTACCTCGGTTACAGTTTGTCCCCAGCCCTGGTTGGGGTCGTGTGGGTGGCAACCACTCAGTGTGTCTCTCACATCGATGTTTCTCTTTCTCTCTTCCTTCCTCTCTCCCTCCTGCTCTATCTGAAGATAAATGCAAAAATGTCCTCAGGTGAGGATAAAAAAAAAAGAAAGAAAGAAAAGGAAACCATCGTACACTGTTGGTGGAAATGTAAATTAGTACAGACACTATAGAAAATAGTATGGACACTCCTCAAAAAATTCAGAACAAGCCCTGGCCAGTTTGGCTCAGCGGTTAGAGCGTCGGCCTGCGGTCTGGAGAGACCCGGGTTCGGTTCCCGCTAAGGGCACATACCTCGGTTGCAGTTTGTCCCCGGCCCTGGTTGGTCGTGCGGGTGGCAGCCACTCTATGTGTCCCTTCACGCCGATGTTTCTCTCTCTCTCTCCCTTCCTCTCTCTCCCTCCTATTCTATCTGTACAAAAAATGGAAAAATACCCTCAGGTGAGGATAAAAAAAAAAAAAATTTCAGAGCAAAACTACCATATGCTCCAGCTATTCTACTTTTGGGTATTTATCAAAAAAATGCAAAAATACTAATCTGAAAAGATATATGCACTTAAGTTCAATGCAGCATTATTTACAATTGCCAAGATATAGAAACAGCCTAAGTGTCCATCAGTAGAGGAATGAATAAAGATGTGATGTGTACACATACACACACACTCTCTGGAATACTACTCGGCCATAAAAAAGGTGAAGACCAATAAAGTAAAGGCAAAGGGGTAAGGAGAAATGGGCAGCAAGTAAATTGTATGGTGACAAATAAAAACTAGACTTTTGGTGGTGAGCACAATGTGGTATATACAGATGTTGAATTATGATGTTGCACACCTGAAACATGTTATAAACCAATGTTATGGCAATAAAAAGATAAAGAATCTGCTTGTGCAGAGAACTCTATTAAGTTCTATTTTTTTTAAATAAGTTTTTATTGATTTTTTTAGAGAGAGGGGCAGAGAGAGAGAAACATCGATGTGAGACAGAGACACTGATTGGCTGCCTGCTGCATACCCCCTACTGGGGATGGAGCCCCCAATCTGGGCATGTGCCCTGACCAGGAATCAAACCGGGACATTCAATCCACTGAGCCACACCGGCCCAGCAAGTTCTATCTACCTACCTACCTATCTATCTATCTATCTATCTTACTTTTTATCCTCACCCGAAGACATTTTTCCATTTTTTATTCAGATAGAGTGGGAGGGAGAGAGAGGAAGAGAGAGAGAGAGAGAGAGAGAGAGAGAGGGAAACATCGATGTGAAAGGGACACATCGAGTGGTTGCCACCCGCACGACCAACCAGGGCCGGGGACAAACTGCAACCAAAGTACGTGCCCTTAGCGGAAACCGAACCTGGGTCTCTCTGGACCGTAGGCTGACACTCTAACCGCTGAACCAAACCAACCAGGGCCCAGCAAGTTCTATTTAAAATGATGTGTAGCAATGGTTCTTCTAGGTACTTAAAACCAAGAAGAGACATAATAAAAGTTGTAACTCATCGCCATTAAAAAAACATCATCCATTAGTTCATCAACCAATTAATAAATTAATCAAATAAATGTTTTCTTTTGTATTTATTTTAGTTGTTTTGGATGTTTATAAGTATTCACCAGGAAGAACACTGTCTCATACTGAAATGAGTTATAAATTATGTACCTTAATTATCACCACTATGGAAAAATGATCAGAAAGATAAGACTGGTTACAGTGATTAAAATTTAATTTCGGAAAAATAACAGACTGTAACAACTCTGAAATACAGAACTTGTACAGTACCAGATTCACTTTCTCACCCTGCTAAAAAGAGTTATAATATCTATAGATATTTTATGAACCTCGATTTATACATTATCATATTACTATGAACCTGCATTTCTGACCAGAATGGGTATGAAAGGTGCTACTCTTAAATGTCAAATGTCTACAAAAATTAAGTCACTAGATGTTACTGATATAATTAATCTGATCCCCCTCTATTGTGGTTCAGTTGTACCATTAAATATTTGAACACCCTATTACATTAAATCATTCAACATTAATTCATTATTATTACTACCTAACTTATTATTTCTGGATTTAATTTCCTATATCTAAAAAAAGTATACAGAATTAGAATTAATTTCAGATGTACTGCTTATTAATTATTATGCTTAAATAAACTATTGTATATATAACAGAATACTATGTAGTCATTAAAAGTGATCTTAGCTCTGGCCAGTTTGGCTCAGCGGTTAGAGCGTCAGCCTGCGGCCCAGTTCCCGTTAAGGGCACATACCTTGGTTGCAGTTTGTCCCCAGCCCTGGTTGGGTCGTGCGGGTAGCAACCACTCGATGTGTCCCTTTCACATCGATGTTTCACTCTCTCTCTCCCTCCAACTGTATCTGTATAAAAAATGGAAAGATGTCCTCGGGTGAGGATATAAAAAAAAAAAAAGTGATCTTAAATGGAATAATGACTAAAACACTGGTAAATAAAAAACTAGTTATATCTGTGGAAAATATTTTATACAGATAAAACTGTGTGTTCATACGTGAATATTCACATAAAACAAAGTCTTGAAAAAGTTGTCATTAGCTAAGTGTTTATCATAATCACATGGGAAACTTCTCAAAACATACATGCAGCCCTGGCCAGTTTGGCTCAGTGGTTAGAACGTCGACCCTCAGACCAAAGAGTTGCAGGTTCAATTCCAGTCAAGGGTACCTTGGTTCCAGTTTGATCTCCTGCCCTGGTCGAGGTTGAGGGGGAGGCAACCAATCAATGTGTCTCTCTCACATTGGTGTTTCTCTCCCCCTCCCCCATCCTTCCCTCCCACTCTATCTGAAAATAAATGGAAAAATATCCTCGGGTGAGGATTTAAAAAATAAATAAATAAAACATACATGCAATGCTTACCCTGAGAAATTCTGATTTGGGTGAAGCTTTAAAATTTGTATTTCGATTTTAATTCAGATTCTTTTCATTAATAAGTATATTTATTGGAGACCTACTATGGGCCAGGAATTATGCTCCCTGCTAGAAATGCTGTGTAAATAAGTTCTTATGCATGTCTTCTGGAATCTTATAATCTTATAAACAAGAATATACATAATTGCATACTGTGAGAAGTGCCAGGTCTCTAGGCTGAGACCTGGTAGGAAAGCAAAGGTTAAAAGGATATACAATGATTTTTATATATGTACAGATATATATGGGTAGATGTACAGATCAATAGGATAGAATTGAATGTCCAGAAATAAAACCTCACACTTATGGTCAACTGATTTTTGACAAAGGTGCCAAGACAATTTAATAGGGATAAATAATTAATCTTTTCAACAAATGGTTCTAGGACAACTAGACATCTACATGCAAAAGAATGAAGCTGGACCCCTTCCTTATATTATATACAATAGTTAATTCAGAATGGATTATAGACCTAAATGTGGGTGCCAAAACTATAAACCTCTTAGGGAAAAAAAAACATAGGAATAAATTTTCATGACTTAGGGTTAAGCAAAGCCTTTTTAGACGTGACACCAAAAGCACAAACAAGAGATAAATATATTGAAGTTTATCAAAATTAAAAACTTTTCTGCTTCAAAGGATACCATCAAGAAAGTGAAAAAGATAATCCAGAGAACAGAAGAAAATATTTACAAATAATACATCTGATAAGAGACTTGTCCATAACATATAAAAACCTTTCAACTCCATTAAAAAACTGCCCAGCCGGTGTGGCTCAGTGGTTGAGCGTCGACCCATGCACCAAGAGGTCACCGGTTCAATTCCTGGTCAGGACACATGCCCAGATTGGGGGCCCAATCCCCAGTGGGAGGCATGCAGGAACAATGTTTCTATCTCTTTCTCCCTCTCTCTGTAAAAATCAATACAGAAAAAAAAAGTTTGTTTTCAAAATATAAAAAATCTGCCCCGGCTGGTTTTGCTCAGCGGTTAGAGCATTGGCCTGAGGTCCGGAGAGACGGGGTTCGGTTCCCGCTAAGGGCACATACCTCGGTTGCAGTTTGTCCCTGGCCCTGGCTGGGTTGTGTGGGTGGCAGCCACTCAATGTGTCCCTTTCACATCGATGTTTCTCTCTCTCTCTCTCCCTCTCTTTCCCTCCCACTCTATCTGAACAAAACATGGAAAAATGTCCTCCAGTGAGGATAAAAACAACAACAACAATAATAATAATAATAATAATAAAATAAAAAATCTAATTAAAAAAGGAGTAAGAAATTTGAAAAGACATTTCTCCAAAGGAGATACACAAATAGACAATAAGCGCAAGAAAAGATGCTCAATAGCATGTACTTATTGTCCCTCAGTTTTTTTTGAATGCTCAACCAAGAATATGTTTTTACAGATTTTTAGAAATGAGGGAGGAGGGTTAGAGAGAGAGAGAGAGAAACATCAATGTGAGAGAAAAATATCAATCAATTAAACCTGTAACCTAGGGGTATGCCCCGACTGGAAACTGAACCCACAACCATTTTTGGTGTACAGGACAACACTCCAACCAACTGACCCACCCAGCCAGGGCTGTCCCTTCGCTTTTAAGAATTACCTAACCCTGGCCAGTTTGGCTCAGCAGTTGAGCATTGGCCTGCAGACCAGAGAGTCCTGGGTTCGGTTCCCGCTAGGGGCATGTACCACCAAAAAAAAAAAAACCCCAATTAAAAAAAAAAGAATTACCTACTATCCTGAATTTTATGTGCATCTAAATAACACATTTCCTTTTTTTTTTTAGAACTTTTATAAGAGTATCTTACTATATATGATCATCTGGGATTTATTCTCCTCTTCCTGCCTTCAATACTATTACTAAGATTCAATTATTTGTTACATATAGTTTTATTCATTTTCAGAGTTTAAATAACTATATAATAATTATGTATCTATTCTGTCCATGGCATTTGGGTTATTTTTACTTCTTTCAAACATATGTTCTATTTGTTTTAGTTCTCAAGTAGTCTGTAACCAATTTAAAGATAGGATATCTTCACATCTCCTAGAATTTTGCACACAAGTCAAAATGATTGGATTAGTAGATGGCATAAGACCAAATAAAAATTATTTTATGACACATACCACCTAAGAACATACACTCTTACCAAAAAACACATACTAAAGGCCTGGCCAGTTTGGCTCGGTGGTTAGAGCATCGGCCCATGGTCTGGAGAGACCAGGGTTCAGTTCCCGCTAAGGGCACATACCTCAATTGCAGTTTGTCTCTGGCCCCAGTTGGGGTCGTGTAGATGGCAGCCAGTTGATGTGACTCTCTCACATCAATGTTTCTCTCTCTCCCTCCCTCTCCCCTCTAGCTCTATCTGAAGATGAATGAATGCAAAAATGTCCTCAGGTGAGGATAAAAAATAAAATTAAAACAAAAAACAAAAAACACATACTAAAGACGGTTAACTCTGTATAATAACCAAAGGTTAGAAAAGTTAATCAGTGGTATATTGAGACATCTTTTTAGCCCGGCTGGTGTGGCTCAGTGGATTAAGCATCGCTCCATGGACTGAGATGTCCTGGTTTGATTCCCAGTCAGGAGGCATGCAGGAGGCAGCCGATAATGATTCACTGATGTTTCTCTTACTCTCTCTCTCTCCCCCCCTTCCTCTCTCTCTAAAAAAATCAATAAATACATTTTTTTTAATCCTCAGGTGAGGATTAACAAACAAAAAAAAAAGTACAGGTTGTCTGTGCTTGAAAGAAAAAACACCTGATGATTTTAATAACAATAACAATAATAATGTCAGCTTATATTAATTCAGTACTTAGTATGTGCCAAGCATTGTTGTACTACGTACTTAATATGGATTAACTCAACTCATTAGATCTTTGTAACTCTACACAAGTATTTAATATTGATAATTCTCTCCTTCTTCCAACATTTCCTATACTTGGCTTCCAGGATACCACACTCTTTATTTTCCTTCTACCTTCTTAGTTTCCTATCCTGGATCCTCCTCTTCTTTCTCACCTCTAACTTCAGTTCCATCCTTGGATTTCTCCATCTACAGTCACTCTCTAGGTTATTCCATCCAGTTCTATAGCTTTTAATATTGGTAACTCACACACAAAAATTAAAAAAAAATTTTTTTTCTTTATTGATTTTAGAGAGAGAGAAAAGGAGAGGGAGAGAGAGAGATAAAAACATCAATGAGAGAGAACATTGACTGGCTACCTCATGAATGGCCCCCATTGAGGATTGGGCCCACAACCTGGGCATGTGCCCTCATCAGGAATCGAACCCAGTGACCTCTTGGTGCATGGGTCAACGCTTAACCACTGAGCCACAGTGGCTGGGCACACACAAAATATTTTTAATCTCCAGCTCTAACCACTCCTCTAAATTGTAAACTTGTATCTCCATATGTATACTTGACCTCCTCCCCCAATGTTTCCCTCATCTATAATTAGCACCATCATTTATCTAGTTGCTCAAGCTACTTTTTTTTTTTAAACCAGGGGAGAGCATGAATGCAGTTCCCCACTACTACAAATTATGCAGTCGAGTTTCACACATTTGAGGAAATCACAGGAACCAGCACACCTGGGGTACAATGGGTGAGCCTCACCCTGGGAAAACCACCTTCATGATCATGGTATCTCCTCTGCCAGGTTAAGTATCAAGCTATTCTTGATGCCTCATCTTTTCTTACACATATCAGCAAATCCTATAGGTTCAATTTCATAAATAACCTAGAACCTACTACTTACATCTCTATTGCTTCTAATCTAATCTATCATCAACTTTCAACTGCACTACTGCGATTGCCTCCTATCTATTTGCTTCTACTCTCACCTTCACCATCCACAATACAATAGCAAACAGAAAAAGGATCACGTGACTTCTCTGCTCAAAACTGTACTATAGCTTCCCATAACTTTTAGAATAAACTATAAAGGCTCTTCATATACTTTGGTGCTTAGCCAACTCTTAAACTTTATCTCCTACCAATCTCCCCATCACCCAATTCATTCCAGCAACTCCTCCTTACTATTCCTCAACACAATGAGCACACTATGCCCTCAGAGTCTTTCCACTGCCAGAAACACTCTTCCCTTGGTTAGCCATGTAGCTCACATACCCCCCACCACTTTATGTGTAGGTCTTTGCTCCAATGTTGTCCCTCAGTAATATCTTCTCTATCCATATATCTAAAACGTTACACTCTTGCCCTGGCTGGGTGACTCAATTGGTTGGCATCATCCCATACACCAAAAGGTTGCAGGTTCCATCCCTGGTCGAGGCGCATATAGGAGGTAACTGAAGAATGTTTCTCTCTCTCTCCCCCCCTTCCTCTCTCACTAAGAATCAATAAAAAACAAAAAACATATAAAGTGAGAATTTAAAAAAATATTAAAATGTCATGGTTGTCTTTTTTCACTCCTTTATCTGCTTTTTCTTCAAAACACTTGTCACTATCTGATATTATATAATTACTTATTTTGTCTTCTCTACTAAATTATAGGCTCAAAAAGGGCAGGAAATATGTCTGCTTTGTTCAACACTACTTTATAAAAGAACACTGCCTAGCACATACTAGATGCTCAATAAGTATTTCAATGAGTCAAAATGTTAAATAATGCAGACAACTAGCAACTTTCTGCTAGTTAACATGTGCAAAGTACCTTTTATACTTCTATATAAGTCCACAGTTACAGATTTAAAATAACCATACTTTTATTGATGAAATTTAACTAAACTTCTAGGAAATTCTCCCTTTAAAAATAACATTCTTATAGAAGTGTTCATTCCAAATTTAGGTATCTTTATTAGCTACACGGGAAATGCCTTTAATACTTTTTCCTAAGAAAAAAAGGTCATACATCTAAAGGAAAACAAAAATTATTTCATTAGCGTACTTACCATTTCTTTTAGACCAAGGGTGTAAGCATGAACTTTTCACAAGCACTTCATCAACTTTTCCTCCTGACATGTTATCCATGAACTGACGCCCATGTTCTAATGCAAGGTAGCAGTCATTGCAACAGTCCCGCTCTTCAACGCGTACCCAATTGCTAATTACACCAATTTTGGGGAAAGGATCTTGGTCTGCTGCTCCAAAGGGTGAAAATAAATTAGTGCATTGATCCTGTAGCAATAATATCAACTCATCAGGCAATTTTTCAGATTCCTTTAGTCCGCCATTAACATGTTCAGCAGAATTGGCCCTGAGAGCTTCAAAACGTTTTTCTGCTTCTTTGCCACAGTCTGTGTTGCGTCCTATGATATCTAGTTCATCTTCAAGAAATAATCCTGAATTGTTTCCAAATTTTCTGTTCATAACAGCACTGAAGCCACAGGTACACCTATACTGTGCTTCTTGCGTTGGATCTGGAATGTAAACTCCAACATCGGCACCCTTGATATTCATGTTGCAGACACAAATACAGCAACTATCAAAGTTACAGTCTTTAAACAAATTCATAACTGATTCTGAAAGAATGAGGTTTACATAAAGACTGTGTGCTTCAGGGATGGAAGGAACAGTTGCAGGCTCAACAGAATTAAGGGGTCTGCATGTGGATGGGGTGGAAGCTGGTGAATACAAGTCTGAATTTTCATATTTGACTGAACCTTGGGCACTAGCAGGTCCACCAGCTCCACGAGGAGTCCTTGGAGTCCTTGGAGTCCTTGGAGTCGGAAACCTAGGGGTAGACGGAGAAGGAAGAATTCCTGCTCCACTGTTACTAGGAGGTGCGCTGCTAGGAGGCATGCCAAAAGAAGTATGAGTTTGAGGTGTATAAGCAGGGCCATATTCTTGATCCATTGTGTTTCCGTCACTAGCATCACCAGGGCAAAAAAAAATCAAACACATACATAAAGGAACATATTAGTAATGTAAAATACAACTAAAAATATCCCAAATGTTTTGCAGTTAATAGTGAAAATTATGAAAGCACAATTAGTGCAAACATTCCAAGTACAATTAAAATGTATTTCTGGTTAATATATTCACTCTAGGAGATTATTGTGGGCTGAGGACCAACCAACTAATCCCAAAATTATAAATAAAATCTGTATATACTAATCAACACCTAGACATCCACATTTATTACCTATATATTTCTTATACTACAAATATGCATATTTCATATATTCTAAGATGCCACTGAGTGTAAAAAAATGAAATCCTGACTTTAAAGATGTCTATGTAAAAAGGGACAATGACAATTTTAAGATGCTACCAGTTCAGTTATAAGATACCTCAATTTCACAGATTTTAAATTAGAAAAGGGTGTGACATATGGCAAATGTACAAACGGGAGTGATTTACAGCATACCAGGTACTTCTATGAAAAAAATTAAAGCTATATAAGCTTTCATATATTATACCAATAACAAAAATCTAAATCATACCCATCTTTGATGAACGGCATTGCGGTCCCTGAAGGAAGCAATTCCAATTTTCCAACAGTCCAACTCTGACGATAAATACACTCTTCGGGCAATTTGATAGGAGGCAGACATTGGCTTGGTAGAGTTTTTAGAGGTGCAAACATGGAACATCCCACTAGAACTTGACAATTTTCAGGCTTGTAGACATAAGAAAAATCCTACAATATAAAGACCATGACATTCAGAACCTTATCTTCCAGGGGGGAAACAAGCCATTTTTTCCCCTTTCTTGAAACAAAATAAAATGTAAATGTAATTCTATTATTATTATTATTTTTTTTTTTGAGAGAGAGAAATATAGATTTGTTGTTCCATGTATTTATGCATTCAATGGTTGATTCTTGTAAGTGCCCTGACTGTGGATCAAACCCGCAACACTGGCATTTCGGGACGATGCTCTAACCAACTGAGATACCCAGCCAGGCCAATTCTTTTCTTAAATACATTCTTAATAGTGTCACAATTCAGTCTTCAAGTTTGTTAACCACAAAACTAGAATCAAATAATTTTTTTATTAAATTTAGTGAAGTGCCCGGCCAGCGTGGCTCAGTGGTTGAGCACTGACCCATGCACTAAGAGGTCACCAATTCAATTACCAGTCAGAGCACATGCCCAGGTTGTGAGCCAAATCCCCTGTAGGGGGCACGCAGGAGGCAGCCAATCGATGTTCTCTGTCATGGATGTTTCTGTCTCACTCTCCCTTTCCCTTCCTGTCTCTCTAAAAATCAATAAAGGAAAAAACGTTATAAAAATACATAAATAAATAAATTTAGTGAGGTAAAATATTGATTAATAACATTATATATATTTCACATGTACATTTTTTTTTTAATCCTCACTCGAGGATATTTTTTTCCATTTATCTTCAGATAGAGTGGGAGGGGGAAAGAAAAAGAGAAAGACAGAGAGAGAAACAATGATGTGAGAGAGACACATCAACTGGTTGCCTTCTGCACATCCTGGACCAGGGCTGGGGACTGAACCGCAACCAAGGTACATGCCCTTGACCAGGATCGAACCTATGACTCCTTGGTCCATGGGCTCATGTGTACATTTTAATTCAGTATTTGTATATTCTACTGTGTGTTCCCCACCCAAAGTCTAGTTTCCTTTCTTTATCATATATTTGACCCTCTTTATGCAATTCGCCCTCCCTCAACACCTTTCTGTTCTGTTAACCGCCATTCTGTTGTATCTATGAATTTGTTTTGTTAGCGCCAATACCTTTTGTTTTATATTACACACGAAGGGCAATCATATGGTTTTTACCCTTTTCCATCTGACTTATTTCATTTAGAATAATACCCTAAAAACCCATCCATATTGTTGCAAATGGCCACATGTAATGAGTTTTGACTATAAATACAAACTAATTCTATATGAAAATATAGAAGTAAATTATTTTTTCAGAGAAATAAAATACTTACCTTAATTTCAGAAGGTTTGGGGCTACAGAATCCTTCATCAACTTCAATTTTGAACTGTGCTCCTATACTAGAACTATTTCCTTCTAGAACAGTTCCTCCAGGTGTTGTATCCATACTACCATATTCTTTGTTATTCATGTTCATTGGGGAAAATCCCATTATATGTTGTTCCAATGATGGTGGTGTAGGATACATTTTATGAAGATCTGCAGTGCCTATATTTAATAAAAACCATATTTTAACATAAGAATCAAAAGAAGTTAATCTGTTTAAAACAAAGCTGGGGAGAACTTAGTTGAGATTCAAAGTTTGCAGATTTATCTGCAGTACAGATTTAGGAAGCTTACTTATGCAGGATAATGGGTCCAGATTTCCTGTCTTTGATTCCTTGCAGTTGGATTTATCATCTGATCCATTCGCCAATTTTTTAGATCCAGGCTATTTAAAAAAAAAACGAAAAACCTACATATTTATATTTATCTTAAGTTTTACATCCAGTGTGATCTCAAGATAGTAATCATTCAGATGTGACTTGAAAGTAGAGTCCATTCATGAAAAGTAATATTTTGAATTTTTGCCAGAGCCAAATACATACTAGATATGATTTAAAGACATAAAACACATTTTAGGCAATCAATGAGCCGAGATTCGTTTCTCTATTATTTGATAATCCTCCAAGTTAATAGAGGATAAAGTTCCACCAAAGAAAATAACCCATATTTTCAAAACATTTAGAAGCAAGAACAACTTTCACTTAAAACCTATTAAAATAAAAATAAAACCTGCAATAAGAAGGGCTCATAATTAACATCAGACTTGCTTCTTAGTAAAAGATATTCATAAAGCATCTGTCCCCTTAAATAAAAGACATTAAAGTGTCCTACATAATTAGTCATCCTCTGATTTCTTGTTTATACTTTTACCTTGTTTAATAATCTCCTTACCTCTGTAAAAATGCTACAACAGGTAAAACTAAGCAAAGACTTCAGAAAGATCTCTATGACAAAGGAATATCCCTACCTAAAATTAAATTTTAATACAATGAACAAACCAAGTTTCAGTATCTCCAATCTGTCATCAACGTTTTTAGAGTTGATAACTTGGTTCCTGTTAGCCACTTTGTCAAAAATACATAAACTGATCTCTGATTACAACCTTTTTACCTCAGAAGAACCACAGCTAATACATGAATGGTAGCAGAAAGTATAAAAATACCAAAATATTAGGGATATATTTACCTAGAAAATGGCACCCTAAAATATACTATATTATGGGATACAGAATAAAAGTTTATATATAGCTATACCTCCCTTATGTCACTTAATTGAATACACCAAATGTGCATATATGTATGTGTGTATGTATATGATGAGAGAGGATTAAAAGTATATATTATATAGGACAAGAAAGACCAAATGTACTATAGAAGTTTCCAAGCTACCTTTATGCAGATGAAAAAGGAATTCCCTTTTATGATAATGCAGCACCCAATTCATTAATTTGCCAGAGACTTGACATTCTAGGGAATCTCATTTTAAGCTTTAATTCCTTTTATCTTCACCTTTCTCTGCAAATGGGTGTTAAAGATTAAATGTTACTTTTTCTTCCTCTTTCATTATTATAGTTATTTAGCTGTCTTATAATAATGACTGTAATGCCAAACAAATTCTAAAGAAGCGGTATCCTTAATAAATTGATAAGGCATATAATTTTAATGTTAATCACTTAGTCTCTAAACAGGTCAATTCCAGGGTCATTTCTCAAACTAGAGGATCAAAGATAAGGAAAATAATTCTACCTCCTAAGAACTGCAGAAAAAGAACATGGCAGAGCTCAAATTAAGTTCAATCACACATGTCCTTCAAACATACAGAACAAAGAAAAAGAAACAAAGTATACAGGTGACAGACTATGTCAACAACACTCAAACATGTGGTTAAAAAAACAAAACCAGTTAAACTTTATTCTAAAATATTTCCTATTGTTCAGGGCTAAAACAGTATTCAAGTCACATACCACTTCTGGGAAAAAAAAAAAAAAAATCAAATCAAATCAAGGAAAACAATTCATAACCTTAATCGTTAACAGGATACTCACTGTTAGTTCATCTTCATCAGAATTGAAGAGATTATCAAGGTCAGTATATGAGACAGCCAGGTCTGAGTCATAAATTAAACTGGTTGATGGAGGACGCGCATGACTAGTAGGACGTAGAGCATCTACATATGTCAATCAGGAAAACAAAATAAAAAATTCTACTACTGACCAAATCAGTATTATTTTTTTAAGCTAGATATGTCACTTTAAATTTATAAAGGTATATATAATAAAATAAGAAACAGTGATTTAAAATCTATAATTTTTTTCACAGAAATAAAGTTGTAAATGAATGATGGTACCTTCCTCAAGAAGTTTATCAAAGGCTATGCAATCCATAACATAGCAAAGTACTCTACGTCAATAATATATCAAATAAAAACATAAACAATGTTATTAGAACAACAGAATTAAACACACATACAGTTTTGTTTTTCTATCTTCCTGAAATGTAAAGGAAGCACAGAACAATGATTTAAGTGCTCCAGTTCTTGAGTCAGATTGTTACTCTGAATCCCAACTCCAACATTAGGAGTACAACCCTGGGCAGGTTACTTAACCTCTCTGTGCCTCAGTAACTGCAAAAATTAAATGTGATAGAATGTAGGTAAAGCACTTTGCCTAGTACCAGACACTTAAGTACTCCATAAATATTACCTCTTAGGAAAGTTTTATTTTAGTTCTAGAATTTTATTTCCCTTTTTATTATGTTTCCAGTTTTAGGAGGGGAAAATACATGAATACTTAAAAAGAAATACAAATAGGCCATGGCTGGTTTGGCTCAGCGGTTAGAGCATCAGACTGCAGTCCAGACAGACCCGGGTTCAGTTCCCGCTAAGGGCGCGTACCTTGGTTGCAGTTTGTCCTGGGCCCCATGTGCGGGTGACAACCACTCGATGTGCCCCTTTCACGTCAATGTTTCTCTCTCTCTCTCTCTCTCTCTCTCTCTCTCTCTTCCTCTCTCTCCCTCCCACTCTATCTGAACAAAAAAAAAAATGGAAAAATATCCTCAGGTGAGGATTAAAACAACAAAAAAAAAGAAATACAAATAGAAGTTAAACTCCTCTTAAATTCCCACACAAGAACAAAATAGAAAACAATTTGCTCTTTGGTATATAACCTTCCGAAACATCCTCAGGATGTCAAATGACTTGAAAAAGCCCTCACTTTCAGAAAGATGAAAATCACTTTCCAAGTGTCCCTGTACATCAGTTATAAAGACTCACTAGAGCAATAGTTCTGAAATTTTAGTGTGTGTAAACATCATCTAAGGTACTATTTTTTTTCCTTTATTGATTTTTAGAGCAAGGGAAAGGAAGAGGGAGAGACAGAAACATCGAGAGAGAACATCAATTGGCCACGTCCAGCATGCCCCCCCCCACTGAGGATTGGGCCCACAACCTGGGCATGTGCCCTGACCGAGAATCAAACCAGCAACCTCTTGGTGCATGGAGCAACCTCCTGGTCAACCACTGAGCCACTCTGGCCAGGCTAGGGTACTATTTAAAAAACAAGATTTCCAAGCTTCACCTCAAAAGATGATCCAGAATGTGGTAGATGGTCCAGATTTTGAGAAAGCCACACTATAGGCACAAGAAAGCACTTACACATTCCCTATATCCTAAGGTAGGTTAATAGGCCCAAGAACTCAAATTTCATTCATCAATCTACCATCAACCACTAAATTTATATCATAAAAGACCATCTCTTCCTTATTCAGATGGACTTTTTAATTTTTACTTTTGGCCACACAAAACCTGACCCTGTCGTTTTATTCCAAATATTAAAACAACTTTGTCCCTGAAGAGGGCCCTGCAGTGATGGGATGATAAGTGACCTCTTCTTCTCTGGTGAGCATGTGTAAACAGTGACTCTTTTCTCACCACTGGCGTCACACCTCAGAGGTCTGGTGTTGTGGGAGGAAGTTTTCTGAAAAGCAGCTGCTAAAGCATGGATGGACTCCAGGAAAAGGCCTGGGCCGGAAGGAGAATGGCATCACCCAGGCCCTCAGGATGAGGCTACAGCAAAACTCTCATGAGGTGGGACACAACCTTGCCAAGGAGTTCACAAACCAGTGGTGAAATGAGCTCTTCATCAAAACTGCAGCCAGCTTGGTAGTGGAAACTAGGCAGGATGGAGTACAAACAAGGTGCCTTTCTAAGGAAACCACCCATCATAATCATCCCAAGTCCAACTTGCTATATCAAAAGTTTGTGAAGATGTTGACATTGACTTCAGGTGGGGAGAAGCTAACAAGAACTTGGAAAGTTGTACTGATGACAACAACCAGGGGCCCCAGCCTCCAAAATGTTGGACTGATGAGATGCTGCTCCAAGCCTGTGAGGGGCGAACTACACAAGGCTGCCTATCTTGGGATTACGATGGCTAAGCTCGCTCAGTTGCAGGCCTTCCTGACTCAGCTCAGAGGCCAAGACCCTGGGATCCCTCAACTGCAGTCAGAGAGCAAGTCCCTCAAAAACAAAAAGAAAAAAGAAAGAAAAGGAAGCAGAAAGAGGAAAAAGAGGTTATAGCAACTGAAACGAATGCAGACAAGGAGTACCCAGAACATACTGAACAGAGCATCAAGAAAAGCAAGAGGAAGAAAAGACAACATCAAGAAGAAAAGGCCACAGCCCTGGCCAGCTTGGCTCAGCAGTCAGAGTGTTGGCCCATGGACTGAAGGGTCATGGTTCAAAATTCAGTCAAAGGCCATATTCCTGGGTTGCGGGTTCCTTCCCCGGCCCTGGTAGGAGTCATGTGGGAGGCAACCAATAGATGTTTCTCTCTCTCTCTCTCTCTCTCTCTCCCTCTCTCCCTTCCCCCAACTCCTTCCACTCAAAATGGAAAAATATCCTTGGGTGAGATTAACCATAAAAAATAAAATACAAAAAGGTCACAGATGAGAGAGAGGGAACAACCATAGGGGATGAGGAAGAGGCCCCAGGAATAAGAGGGTTTGGGGAACTGAAGAGCAGAGAACAAACTGATTACTCCCCCAGGAAAAGGAAGAGGAAGCAGCAGCACTATGAAGAGGAAAAGCTAGGGGTCTTAGATAAAGGAGGAGGTAAGGAGGCCATAGGTGGTATCAGAGGAAGTAGAGAGCGAAGCACATACTGATCCATGCAGCAGAAGCAAGAGACAACAGTATGAGGAGGAGGAAGACTTGAACACAGAGGATAAAGAAGTTGAGGAGGATGTTGCAGATGGTGGGACCAGGGAAGCAGAAAGCAGAGCATCAGTGATAGTAAAAGCAGAAGCAAGAAAAAAGGGTGTCTTGTATATAAGGGATGGATATAAGGATGGCAGGACGAGGGAAGCAGAGAGCAGAGTAAGAAGAGGAGGCAGCAGCAAACAGAGGAGGAAACACAAGAGTCAGCACTGACCAAAGAGCAAAAAAGGAGAAACAGAAGTAGAGAGACTGAAGGTCAGGTCAGGGTGGGGCTTGATCGATTTCTTTTCAGGAGTTGTTGAAGCTCAGAGACCTGAGTTGATGTAGGACTTCCCAGTGAGGAGTCCTTCCGAAGGTGGAAACTGAGCTCTGGAATACCAGCCTGCTGAGAGGAGAGCAGTAGCGCCATGCATTAGTTAGGGAGTGGGCATCTTCCCCTTTGCAGCTTCTAACTCAGAGACCATGGAATTCAGTGCCTATAGGAGCCAGTTAGCCAAGGGACAAGAAGTGCTGAGGACTGTGGGAACAGGAATGCAGATACCTTTTGAAGGGGGCATCCGTTCTAAAAGAAGCTAAACATGTAGATTTATATGATACGCTTTGATTTTTAAATATTATGAAGCAAAGGGAAAAATACAAATTTAGGCCTATGAGCTGGTTTCTAACACTATGCCAAATGATTCAATAAACATCAGCTTCAGCTCCTAGCCTTTACATAAAAAACAAACAAAAAACCAACTATGTCACTAAATAAAACATATCAAAATATGACTTCTTTTGCTTCCATCAAAAGTTAAATAGATTTTGGCCCTGGCCGGTTTGGCTCAGCGGTAAGAGCGTCCACCTGCGGTCCAGAGAGACCCAGGTTCGGTTCCCGCTAAGGGCACGTACCTCAATTGCAGTTTGTCCCCGGCCCTGGTTGGTCGTGCGGGTGGCAGCCACTCGATGTGTCCCTTTCGCATTGATGTTTCTCTCTCTCTCTCTTCCTCTCTCTCCCTCCCACTCTATCTGTACAAAAAATGGAAAAATGTCCCTGGGTGAGGATAAAAAAAAAAAGTTAAATAGATTTTGTAAAAGGACTAATATATTGTATCTTTCTATTCCATTCACAAGGAATACAAGTTAGATACTTTCAAAGTGAAATCTTGACTACTATATTCCCAGTGCCAAAAACAGTGCCTACACATAACATGTACTCAGTAAGTACTTGTTAAATTAATGACCTCAGCAACAATTCTTCTTATTTATGAAAGGGGTTGGGGGAGAGAAAAGCACAAGAAAATTACAGTCAAGTCTAACTTATTAATTGAGCTTTTCTTTTTTTTATCCTCACCCAAAGACATTTTTCCATTTTTTGTTCAGATAGAGTGGGAGGGAGAGAAAGGAATAGAGAGAGAGAGAAACATTGATGTGAAAGGGACACATTGAGTGGCTGCCACCCGCACAACCAACCAGGGCCGGGGACAAACTGCAACCGAGGTATGTGCCCCCTTAGGGGGAACCTAACCCGAGTCTCTCCGGACCGCAGGCCAACGCTCTAACTGCTGAGACAAACCAGCCAGGGCTTTATTGAGCTTTTACAGCTGGGAGGGACCTTAGGCGATGATTTCATCCAATCTTATTTTATAGATGAGAATTATTTTTATTTGTAAAAAAGGAAATAAGTTCTAACAATTCAAAACAGAATTTCTATCACCTGGACTTGCTTCTCTCTGTGTAATATAAACAATGATCCATCATTTTAAGATATCCAATTTCATAGAAATCTATCTCTTTCTATGAAACATGAATTATGCAAAGAAGTAATAATAATATAGTAAAAGTCCAATGATTTCAGATTACAGTTGACTTTTGAACAACATGGGTATGAACTGTGAGAATCCATATAAATGCAGATTTTTTTTCAATAAATATATCGATTATACTATGCTACCATAAAGCATATTACTGCTTCTTTATTATCAATGCATAAATCATTACACCTGTAAAGAAATATCAATTTCATTTTCACATTATCTTTTCATTTTTGATGTCTACTGTTAGTAATATGTATATCTACAGTGTTTTATATCATATAAAGCAATATTAATGTAGATACTGACAGAAAATTCATCTTGTAAGACTGTAAATTTACAGTATCAATACAGTACAGTACTGTAAATGTACTCTCTTCTTTATAATTTTCTTAATGACATTTTTTATCTAGCTTACTGTATTGTAAGAATATAAAATACATATACAAGACATATCTTAATAGACTATTTATGTTATCAATAAGGTTTCCAGTCAACAGTAAGCTATTACTAGTTAAATTTTTGAGGAGTCAATTTAAATGCAGATTTTCAACTGTGCAGGATGCGAGTATTAGCGCCCCAACCCCCACATTTTTCAAAGCTCAACTGTAATTTGTAGTAACAATACTGGAATGTATATTTTGATTAGGAAATAGAAGTTTTACCTTGCTTGATAGAGGGACTAAATAATGACATAGCATCTTCTTCATGTGATAACACTGTTACATTAGATGATCCATCTTCTACCTGTAAACAATATTACATATTAGGCTAAAATATATAATTTACCAATAACAAATCCACAAACTACTGAGTAACTATGTTTCAAGGATTCTGCTATGTGTTCTACAGACATTATCACTAATTCTCAAAACTAACCTATACAATAAGTAAACAGTATGTCCATCTTACAGACAAAAAACAGTTCTAAAGAAAACCCAGGTAATATGGCTAACAAGTTGTGGGAACTAGGATTTCAACCTAAATTTGTCAAATTCCAAAGTCCATGTTCTAGTGATGGAAGGAAACTTGACTTGGCGTGGTGAACACACAATACAATCTACAGATGATGTCTTATAGAACTGTACCCCTGAAACCTATAATTTTATTAACCAATGTCACCCCAACAAATTCAATAAAAAAGAAATTTAAAAAAAATTAAAAACAAAGTCCATGTTCTTTCTACAGTATCTCCATCCCTCCCAGCTACTACTGTTTTCAAATTTACAAAAGGACAAAATTTCAAGTACTGAGCACATAGTAAAGTTAAACAAAACTTCATGAAATGAATTACTTTTATTAAATGTATTACTGAATTCTTTTCACAATTTTACAGCTTTCAATTTCCATATTTTTATTTGAAGCAAAAAACACATATAGAAGAGTTAGTTTGTGCTTCATACGTCCTCAAATATTTTATATTTAACCTTTTAATCAAATAAATATTTCTATATCTCATACTTGATTAATATGACATTTTCCTTTTAGGGTCACTACAGGTTCTTGGGTCACATATTCTAAAATATCATGTATTTAATAAACTCAAGAGATATGTATTCTATTGTATTTTTGAAAACTGGTAATTCACGCCCTGGCCGGTTTGGCTCAGTGGTTAGAGTGTCGGCCTGCGGTCCCGAGAGACCCGGGTTCGGTTCCCGCTAAGGGCACGTACCTCGGTTGCAGTTTGTCCCCAGCCCTGGTTGGTCGTGCGGGTGGCAGCCACTCGATGTGTCCCTTTCACATCGATGTTTCTCTCTCTCTCTCTCTTCCTCTCTCTCCCTCCCACTCTATCTGAACAAAAAATGGAAAAATGTCCTCAGGAGAGGATTAAAAAAAAAAAAAAAAAAAGAAAACTGGTAATTCACATATGGCTTATTTTAACTCAGTATCAAAATAGTTCATTTGCCTAAATGTCCTCATTTCAAGATAAGAAAAGATAACGTACTCTTTCTCTAATCTAAAAACTTTTATAGCAAACCAAAAAAAATATTTTCAATATCAGCAACCAGTTATCACTTAAAGTCCACACAAGCTCTTAATTTTGTACAGTATGCCTGACTTACCTATTTTTAAAAAATGGTTTTCTAAGCTAAAATGATGTATCCATTCTATTTTAAAAGAAAAACAAAGAGAAGTGTAGTACTATATGCAGTGCTACAAATTATCAGAGACCCTTTGGTGTACCTTGATTTCTCTTACCTTTTGTTTTTTCCCAGCTTCTCTCTCGCTATTTTGTCTATCTTTCTTATCAGGAAAAAGAAATTCCTCATCTCCTTCAACAAATGCATATGGATCAATTTTAGGTTCTTTTTCTGCATCAGATGCTATTGCTGAAAGACACTGATTCTTAATTTGATATCGCTGCACTAATTCATCAGAAACTTTTAAACGTTTCTTACATTGCACCATTAACCTGCATTAAAAAAATTAGAAAATTGATTATATTTATTGTCTATAAAAGCATAAAAAATTTCCAAAACAACTTCGCTACCATGAAGTTCTTATAGTTATTTAGAAATGACTAACCTGCAATCCCCCATTTTACACATGAAGAAATTGAGGCATAAAAAGGTTATGTGATCTACTGATGTCTCAAATTTAACAATAAAGAAATGAAGCTAAAATTCAAGTCTCCTATCCTTATGTTCTTTTCACCAAACTATGTTGTTTTTTGGCAATCTATTCAGTTTCAAAGTTCTTAAGCACATTAACCTGACCAAATCCATTCACTTAAAGGAACTCTTAAATCTAACCTGCTGCAGGAAAGGCACCCTCAAAATGTGGGCTATAAAGTGAGACAAGACTACTTTTATACAATTTATACATTTATACGTTTACACAATGAAAGTGATTATCCTTTTCCTATTGCCATAGTAGATATATTTTAAGTTTAAAAAAATTAACAGCTTGATTTGTGTTGCATGAAAATAACATTAGATGTTAATTCTCGCAAGATGTTTTACAATGGCAAGTGAAGTTCAAGTGGAAAAACTTCAGAGGTTTCTTTCTAAACACATTGGAAAAATCAGTTTTTATATTATCAGTCTTCTCTGGTTCCACATGGAGATTGATAAACAAGTTTCCCTGCACTCTCTTAAAATAATCAATAAAATGACAAAGGATGACAGAACAAGAGAGGAAATAACAGTGAAGTTGGAAAGATGAGAACTAGTGGAAAAGAACAGAACAGTGAAAGCTAAACTCTACGGCTGAGAGAGGGAAGCCACAAGTTGACCTGTACCATAGAACCTTGGAAAGCATCAGGACTTTCGTATCTCTGAAGACCAGGGTGAGCGTGAATATAGAATGATTCATTTTTGGTTTGTTAAGACACTTTTAGACTGCCAAATCCATGTTCTCTAATGCTGGCAAAGCTGAGATTCCCATGCTTCCAGAAGAGTGGCAGCCAGGCTTCTAGTCAAATCATGCTCAAAATCCTGCAATAACTTTTTACTCTGAGTAAAAACCAAAGTCCTTATAAAATCCTACACCAAAGCCTATCGGGATCTTTCTCTGCTTTTCCTCTCTAACTTCATCTTCTAATATTCTACTCCCTCTCTCACTCATTCTGCTTCCAAGGGGTTCCTTGCTGTTCCTCCCACAGGCCAGACACACTCCTGGTTATTCCCTTTAAAACATTCTTCCTGCAAATATCTACCTAGCCAACTCCCTCACTTCCTTCAAATCTTTGTCAAAATATCACCTTTTCTGAGACCTTATTTAAAATTACAATATGCCCAACTGCCTCAACAATGATTCCCCTTACCCTGCTCATTTTTCCCTCCACAGCACTTATCTTTTAACATACTGTATAATTTACTTATGTTTACAGTTGACTGTCACTCCCACTAGAAGATAAGCCCCTAAATGCCAGGGATCTTGTCTTTGTTCACTGAATTATCCCAAATGTACAGAACAGTGCCTGGCACATAACAGGCACTCAATAAATATTTGCTAAATAAATACATGAACTCTAGAAACAACACAGGTTTATGTTGTTTGCATTATAAATTCTAAAACACAGTATTTTGTATTTTAAAATAAACCATCTTTATTCATTAGAAAGTGATGTTGCTGCCACTGCTTATTTGTCCTGAGTATTAAGATAAAAAATTATGAAAGGTAAGATTTGGGAGCAATAAAGGTACTTCCTAGCTTACAAATTCTATGAATGATATGGGCAATCACATTTTATTAACCTATTCACCAATGTCCAGCACTATAGACCCTCTATGTACTATAAACTAAGGCTGAAACAGAGCCATCACAAGAATAACTGACATATGATATTTGAAAGCAGGTCTAGAAAATATGTCATTGTTATTCTCAACATGCCCCAGATTTCCCCCTACCACTACAAATCCCAAGTCTATAAAATTTTTCTTCCATGGCAGCACAGTGCTAACACAACTGTCATGGGAGATCTTTTACAATTAATTGTTGGAATAGTTCTGTTGTATAAATGAATAAAGATAGCACTTATATTTTAACATACTATATAATTTACTTATGTTTATAGTTGACTGTCACTCCCACTAGAATATAAGCCCCTAAAAGCCAGGGATCTTGTCTTTGTTCACTGAATTATCCCAAATGTACAGAACAGTGCCAAGCACATAATAGGTGCTCAATAAATATTTGCTAAATAAATACATGAGCTATGAGATACTAACATAAATCTTTTCAAGATAGTATTTCCATCTACTTTGGCATATATTTTCTTATATAATAGTTAAAACGACCTCATATGATAGGAAATGGAGGGTTTGCTCTCTGGCTTTGATGTGGAAATTATATAGAAAGAAATGGTTTGCTATGATCATACAGTGGCAGAGTTAGGACTGGAAAGATTTTAAGTATGCACATTCGTATAACTATTCATACGGGAAAAGTATAAGAACATCCCCCACCACCACCACCAACCTGAAAGACACTACTATTCTATATAGAGGTGAAAACACTGTTTTTCATATTAAGTTGTCCTCTGGCAGAAGCATTAAAAACTGCCACACTGTTTACTTAGGTAGTTGTTCAACTAGTGTGCAGTAACATTAAAAGGATCAATCCTACTGCACAGGGCTCTATTAAGAATAAAAATGAGAAAACCAAATACAATACCTAAAGACAACTTTTTCTTATTTTATTGAATGGTTCTCACAGACATTGGGATATGCAAATAATTTAAATGTAGTCAGTAATATCAAGAGTATCAAATCACAATAAATTTAAAAATATAAATTATTTACATTATACATCCTTCTATACTTCAAACTGATAATAGATATAAAAATTGTAATTTTTAAGAGATGCCAGATTAAAATATCAAGTTATCATTTCATTACTATCCAATTATATAGTTTACATATGTTTTTGTGAACAGGAACACCACCTCTCCTTTTCTAAAAGAAACTTGCACATATAGCCAAATATAAAACTACAAAGATAATTTCAATCAGATATAAAGCTAAATACAGACAAACTGGAAGAGGATTAGTTACAGCCATGAACAGGAAGCTTTGCAAAGTCCAAAGCAAACTGAAATTACTTTTATATTATTCATTAATTTTATCTTCTTCCTTTTACTATGACAACAGTAACATATGATCCTGAAATGTAGTTGTAGAGAATTTAACATGGCTTGTAGCAGTGTACGTTTCTATGCCTTTATTCAATAAAAATTGTTCTGGACAGGTATGACAATATTTTAAGACTGACAATTCTAGGAGGAAATAAGCTATATGAGGAAATGTTTAGGAACAAATAAATTTATAATAAATCTCAAAAGTCCTCTATTTTTTTCAGTAGTACCTTTTCCAGTACCATCTCCAATATTCAGAATCAATCCTTAAACTGAGTTAAAACTATAACTTTATTGCATTAAAATAGGAAGTCAAATTAGGAAGTCTTAATTAAAAGAAAAGATTTAGCCTGGCCAGTGTGGCTCAGTGGTTGAACGTCGACCCATGCATGTCGATTCCTGGTGAAGGCACAGGCCCAGGTTGTGGGCCAAATCCCCAGTAGGGGCAGGCAGGAGGCAGCCAATAGATGTTCTCTCTCATTGATGTTTCTATCTCCCTCCCTCTCCCTTCCTCTCTCTCTAAAAAATAAACAAAGAAAAAAATTTTAAAAAAAATAATAAAAGATTTTAAAATACAGTAAGTCAAAACAAGTTTATTTCTTCATCAACTTCTATTAAACAAAGTAATTAGAAACTATTTTTAGCAATCAAGTAATGCATTCTATAACTATATACATATAATACAAATCTAGTATATCACTAATACAACATAGCAGCTACTTCTATTGATGAACATTATGGTTAAGATATCCTGAGGTAGCCTTACTACCGAACAAGATACGGTAAGAACTATGCTCACGTACAGTTCTTCCTTTGCTCAGGGTTTAGAAAGGTTTCCCTCTGAATCAGAATAGTAGACTATTTTAAGTCATCACAAATTCTACTAAAACTAGCGCTAAACCCTTGAACAAATAAATTTTTAAAAAAACAACCACATGTTTCTTGGCAGAAATTGTGTTATCTTTAAAACTTATTAAGTCTTAAGCCACTATTTTGGAATAAACACTATAATTAACTAATAGAGAAACTAAAAATAATTAGAAGCAAAAAGAAAATAAAAATATTTGCCACAGATGTGTATATCTGTGCTCTACCCCATCTCTCTCTCATTCAACTAAATTTTAACAAATTAGAAAAGGAATTTTGGCTTTAAGTAGCTACTGAAAAATGTGACATTAACTGCTGCTCATGGATGCCTAAGAATAAGGGAGGTGCTTAGAAATGATGAATTCTGTAACCTGGTACTAGTTGAGCAGCCATCACCTTTGAAAACGGATTAGAAAAATCAAGAGTATTGCTTTCTTTCGTCTATCCGCCTGTTACCATAATAGTGCCACTTTTTATATTTTTTTTTATTGATTGATTTTAGAGAAAGAGGATGGGAGAGGCAGAGATAGAAACATTGACGATAGAGAACATCAATTGGCCGCCTCCTGTATGCCCCTCATTGGGATTCGGGCCCACAACCTGGGAATGTGCCCTGACTGGAACTAGAACTGGCGACCTCTTGGTGCATGGGGCCATGCTCAACCACTGAGCCACACCGGCCGGGCAATAGTGCCACCTTTTAAAAACAGTCAATGAAAAACTTCATTTAGTTATACCACATGAAAATTGAGTTTTCACTTAACATAAATAAAACAAAAGTCTAAAATTCTTCTCCATCATTTTCTCAACAGGTATACACCTGTAAAGTCAACTATGATAAAGAAACTATTTTTTAAATTTCTACTGATGCATTCTTGCCCCTCTTTGCATTCTATATCTACTCTAACTGGGTTAATAGTTTCCTCTTTTAAGCTTCAGACACATGATCACAACTGCCTGATGAAATC